GCAGCATACCACAAGGTGAGAGAAGAAACGAAGGACTGGGGCGATTACAAGAGGCTACCGGAGGCAATCCCTGAATTCCCTATAATAAAAAGGATGTTGCTCGGAGCAGTCTCCGTGGTACAAACTCCTAGGTTGAGAGCATTCTAAACCAATGAAAGGAGAATAGGGAATTTCGTGGGAACGATGGATCCATACTTCGTAGGGAGAAATGCCGCCGTGTTACAGTACACACGATTTGCATACACGGATCAAGCGACGAGAAGGCGAATAAGCAACGCCGCTACTCCCAAGCCAGGAAGATTTGATGAGGAATGGAAACGACTAGGCTTAGCTCCGATGAGAATGAGAGGCAGGACAGAATTGCCTGAAGCCTCATTAATCCTGACCAGTGTGAAAAAGGAGATGAAAGTGGGAGGAATATTGCAGACGAGAAACTTCCTAGCACCCTTCGGCTGCGAAGAAATCAAAGTGGTCCATGGAGAAGAGGAAGATAAATCGGCCGGTACATTGCTCATACCGAGATTCCAGGAAGAAGCCGACAATGACGAACAAGGACCATCGAGCTCGAACAACGATAAGTCAGAAGGAGATGACGGACAGGGTGGAAGCCGTCAGACTGAAGAACCCATGCAACAAGATCAAGCTGGTGGGGAAGACGACAGGGCATCGACAGGAGGAACATCCAGCCTGGATTTCAATATCTTCAGTGATCTTGAGAATAATGCAGACACGTTGGAAACGACTGAGCCAGCGGATGAAGGCATCTCGACACTGGAACCTCCGTCAGCCTTTGAGGAAATGAAATGGAATTTGCCGGAGAGCAGCTCTCCTGGCAATTCAAGAAATAACGACCAGAGAATCCTCATGGAATCACCCCGGAGGAGAAGAATAGAGGCCTCAGCCAGAGTACCTTTCTTGGGAACGTTGCCCGAAGAGGAATGGGAAGTACATCACCGAGACCACGAGAGTAGGACGGGATGTAAGCTTGACAGAGTGGCGTTTATGGAAGAAGTCTGGACCGTGATTCAGAGCTATGGGACCCAGTCCATCCTCGAAACAGGTCTCAATCAACCCTTGATGAGAGAAGTACTTGACAAGCTTGATGAGTGTGAAGGGAGACTGAGTGAGTTATTGATCGACTCAGCCACTGATGAGAGTGAAGCGAATTCTCCCATCAAGATGACACCGCAGGACGATGAAGGAGAGGTGGTGTACCTGTCAAGAACTGGGCGAGAAAACGATTGATGCCATGGTTCAGAGCTAACATGACTGCATGGTTGTACGAGTATGCGAAAAAGCATATGTCGAAGCATGGCAGAGTGTACAGTGAATATCAGCTGGACATTGGGGCAGGAGCTTTCAAGCGAGCTTTCGTGACTCATCGGAATGCAGTGACCACCGCCGTGAAAAGAATTTCCAGGACGAGTGAGCGTGGTGGAAATGAGAAGGCAGAGATGCTGAAAGAAGATTTGGAGAGAAACGTGACGTTGTGTCTCCACAACAGTTTCTGCAGAAACAGAGAATCCAACGTGGATCCCCTACCTTGCTGTAAGCAGAGGGTAGAAGAGCAGAAGTGTTGGAGGACGGCTTCCAACAGCGTCAAGATAGCCAACGATGTGCTACAAGACACGGAAACCGAAAGTGCGGAGTCAGTATCACAGGAGGAAGAAATGGAACATTGATGAATGGTCGAGAAAACAAGAGGCAACAAGAAAAAAAATTAGAAGAATTTAGAAGTTTTAGAACTTCTAAACGACGAAAAAAGAAGAGAACAAAGGAGTGATGAAGAAAAGTTAAAACTCAGAATTGTTTTATATGTGTGAAAAACTCAAGTGAGAAACCAAGCAACCAAGTTGTAATTGAAAACTGAAACATTTAGTTGAGTTTTGAAATTGTTGCATTTGTAAATTTGCATTTTGATTTTAGCAGAAGTGGCTTTAGAGACACTCACTTATTATATATTTAGAAAGGCTTGAGGCAAGAGTATATTTAAATATTCCAGCCTGCATGATTGTTTTTAATCACTTAGGAAGACTGATCATTTTGTGGTGACGTGGAAGGCTTGAGTAATCTCTCGAAGAGGGAGATTGTTTCATTGTTCTTTCTAACCACAGAGTTTCTTAGTTTTAATATTCAGGACAAAAACAAGCAAGATTTCCGAAGGGAAGAAGCATAGTAGGATAATTTTAGCTTGTTGGTTGGCAGGACTGTCCTGCAAGCCAACACCTTTTAAATCTAAGAGAAAAAGTTTTCATCGGGACATTGACACTGGGAGTCAGAAAATATGTTTTATCTTAGGTTGTATCTTCAATGTGCAGATTATTGAGAGAATTTGAAGGCTATAATGATGTAGTATGATGCCATTTATATTCTGCAGTGAGTCGATGTGACGTGGATAAAAGTGATTTCGTGCATTTTGTAAATTCTGTTCGATGACACTGTGCCGATTTTATGAACATTGCGCGATTCAATGAGGACATTGACCGGACTGTCCGGGGAGTATGTGACATTCGACCAGAATGTGAAAAATGCAATCTCTGCAGAATTCGGAATTTTAGCAGTAAGCCTTCCGGATTGGTGGTTTTTAAGAACTAAGAGCGTTATTGGAACGTTTGGCCAGACGGTGAGGGCTGGAATATTCTAGTATTTTAAAATTTCAAAAATTCGAATGATGACGTCACATTTCTGAGAAATGCTGAAACGGCCATTTTAACAAAAAAACGAGAGAGAAAACACAACAACATTAGTTGCGCTGACGATAACAACGATAATCGTGATTGAAAAACGACAGCGAGTTACAGAGTAACAGAGAACACTCCGAGTTGCAACATGACGTCATAATTCGAATTTTTAAATTTTCAAAATACCAGAATACTCTAGCCCTCACCGTTTGGCCAATCGTTCTAATAACGCTCTTATTCCTTCAAAATCGCCAATTCGGAAGGTTCACTGCTAAAAATTCGAATATGCTGAATCTGCATTTTGATCAATTCTGGTCGAATGTCACAACTTCAGCAAGTTTTCTTTGAGATTGTTGCAGTTGAAGATGTTCACAAATGGAGACAGTCTATTAGCTAACCGGGCAGAACGGACCCAGAAGTTGTGATTAGACTTCGCTAGTCTAACACGTTGAATAAAAAGGGTAAAGCCTGTGGAATACCGCGTGGAAACATCTGCTACAAAGCAAATGGGTTTTTGCCATTCCATGTCGAAACGATCATTGAGAATGTTAACTGAACAGCATAACATCATGAAGCTCAAGATATAGAGAAACGGGCAAAAGTTTCTGAAGAGATAGTCGAGTAGCATAGTTTTCTTCTGTCGGTAAAATCCACCGGGAGACTTTTTTTGTAACACTTCTATTCGATTCAATCTGTTTTCGAAGCATACCAAACTTGCGAAGCATAAGAGAGAATAGGAACTACCATACCGCAGTATACATTCAGCTTCTTTTCAGTACTGGAGCAAAAGGGAAGGTTGCGTTTCAGAAGGAAGAAGCATTCGCCAGTCGCAGTGATACGTTTTCATGCCTGGTGAGGTTTTTGTCGACAACAACTCCAAGATCTTTTTCTACACAACTGGGTTCCACACCCCTTCGGCATAGACGTTAATGTTACGTAATGTCTGATCATTGGGTTCGTTGAGATTTCTCATGCCTTCATTTATGGCAACAGTTAATATCGTAATGATCATGCTGCTAATCTTCGTTATTCCATTGAGCTTTTTTGTCGTTATCTTCATTGATTTGCAGCTGCTCTTGACATAAAGAGTGTCGCTTGTTTCCTGCTGTGTCTTGCTCAAGAACGACACTTATTTTCCATCTTCTGTCTCTTGACTTCGAGATTGAGCTTCTTTTTGAATTCTCGTGTAGCTAAGTCTCGTGTAGCTAATTCTTGGCTCACATTGTTAATCACGACCGCAGCTGCCTTTTCGTGATTGTTGACCAGAGTCCGTTTCTTCTTTTTTCGGTGTTTCTTAAATATCGTTACTAGCTCATCTTTATGCGCCTCTTCTCTCTGCAGATCGATGTTGTCTCTCTGCCTGTTACGTGTGTTCTGTAGAGCTGTAAGAGCTAATATGTAATTTGGATGATTTCGATTCTTCAATGCTGCCCAAATTAGGGCCAGTCCATCCTGAAGTGACTTTCTTGTCTGCAGAAGAAAGATCTAGCCCCAATTTTACTTGAAAATCGCTGGAGAATTCGAACTCATTCATCTGGTCCAAACCATCTTCATTGACAGCATAGCCTAAGCTAGATGAGAAAATTTTCCAAGATAGATAAGATGATACTTGAACGCCAGATCTTTAACAAAGTCCGCATCGTAATATCAGTTGATTTGAAAATAAAGCTTATTTAAAGTCAGCTTTTTTTTCTGTTTCCTTGCCTTCATGCCTTTTCCAAGTGCCTGTTAGCGATATTTTATTTTGTTCCGACCAGTGAAATTTTTTTTTTCATTTTTTTTCTGTTTTCAACGAAAAAGTAAAGACCACAATTAATGATCGTCCAGGGTCGAGTGATATAGAGAGTTGCGAAAAGTTCGGACTGACAGAATTGAATGAAAATAACAATCTGCTAATTTGCAACAATTTTGCATGCAAATTGAATTTTTGGTTGAAATTGAGAAATACTCTGCCTGAAAAATTAGCTCTTGCTCTTTTCAGTTGTTTTGTCGTCCAAATTTTTTGCTTCTAATATTAATGCAAATTAAAGCCTTTAAATATACCTGGCGTTGAGAAAACCCGGTTTGAAATTTTTTATTTTTTTTTGTCTTTTTTTGAGTGAGTAAAGCGATCGAGGAACATTTATATATGAAAATTAGCATTTAAGGCTAAAAAAACTAAATTGTACGTAAGGAAAACTAGTTTTTGAAGCTTCATTTAGCTCTTCTCTTGCAAAAAAACTTTCGAAATTATTTAAAATAATAAGTGCAAAAATTTTATAAATTTTTTGGCTTTTATTATATCTATATCTATACTAACTTTAAATGCATGTTTAAGCTATATTTACCATGGTTAAGCGTCATAGCATATATTTGGATGTTTAAGCTCTATCGCATATTGCAATGATTAAGAATTTTTTTTCGTCTTTCCAGTTTAAATTCAGTAGTTGGTTACTGCAAGGGTACCCACAGGAGTTCAAGGTTGCAAATTGTACATCCGAATGCGACTGCTCAAATGCTCTTAGTTTCCGAGATGTGACGGTTTTTGTCTTTTTCTTAAATGTTCAAAGAACTAGGGTATAAAAATTTTCGTAAAATTTTAGTTCCCCATAATTATAATGAGGCTCTGTCAGGGAGGGCACTCTTAGAGGTAGCGAGCTTTTCCTCTAAATATGACTGCTTAAATTCTCGCAGTTTTCGAAATATGTCATTTTTAGTGATTTTTTTTTCAAAAAAAAATTCAGAAAATTAAAATTAAAAAGTTCCTAACCCTGTAGATGGGGGCTGTCTGAGTACTCTCAAGGGTTGCAAATCTTGTCCCCGAATATGACTGCTCAAATCTAAGTAGTTTTTCAGATATGACGTTTTTGTGATTTTTCAAAACTTTTCTAAGAACGCTGAAGTTTGTAGTTTCTTGAAATTTGACATTCAGAACCCTGTGGTTGGATACTGAGAGTACTCTCAAGGGATGCAAATCTTGCTCCTAAATATGACTGCTCAAATCTAAGTAGTTTTTCAGATATGACGTTTTTGTGATTTTTTCAAAACTTTTCTAAGAAAACTGAAGTTTTGCAGATCTTGCCTCCAAGTACGACTGCTCAAATGCTCTAAGTTTCTGAGATAAGACGTTTTTCTGTCCTTTTATAAATTTTCAAAGATATGGTTTTTCAGAATTTGAATTAAAAAAAACGTAAATAAAAAATTTTTAAAATTCGAATTTACCAGCCCTGTAATTGGGTGCTGTCAATTTCGAGGCACCGGGCTTCACGCTAGTTTTATTTAAAAAAACACATGTGTATTTTCACGTTAGTATGTGACGTTTTCCTTACGAAAATCTGTGCTTGTTAATTATTGTAATCCAAATTATTCATTTCAAATAGAAACTGAAGTTGAAACTCCAATGAATTTTTTTTCGTGATATTTTTACGCTTGCGATTAGCAAGCGTTATAAAATCGGAATATAGCTTTTCGGGTTAACAGCTTGTTTAACAGAATCACTTGGTTTATAATGAATTCAAAATTTCTAAGCATCTCTGGCACACTTAGTCTGAAGGTAACGAATACGCCGGGGACGGCAAAGGTCTTGGTTTGAATCTTACCTGGACTTGTTTTATTTTCAAACTGAAAAACGTCCTTTTCAAAAAATATTGTCGTCGTAATTTTGTCTGCTTATGTTTTGTCGGCTTAGTTGCCATTTTGTAGAATTGTTAATTTTTTTTACATTATATTGGTTTAAGCGTTCTGATTTACCTCTGCTGTTCAAACTGGAATATATTGTAATTTTACTAAACTTGAGTTCGTATGTTCTCTTTTTGTATTGCAAGCCAGCTTACAAGTGATGAGATGCTTTTCTAGCTGGCAATTTTTTTTGAGATTTCTTTCAGCTATTAGTCATGCCAGTTGACTATCGCAAGTGGGACCATATTGAGGTCTCCGATGATGAAGACGATACGCATCCCAACATTGATACACCCAGTTTATACAGATGGAGGCATCAAGCCCGCGTTGAAAGAATGGAGACAATGAAACAAAAAGAGGAAAACTTTCAATTTGAATGGAAAGAATGGGAATGTGACTATAGAAAGGCTGAAAGTGAGTTAATGGAAGCTAAGAACAGCAACCAGGATGATAAAGTTCAAAAGTTGGAGGCAAAAATCAATTCTTTGAAAGAGAAGAAACGTGAGCTCGACAAGAAGAAAGAAGAATTGGAAACTGAAAAGCGAAAGCAACCCTTAAATGTAGACACACTATCTACTCCAGGCTTCACATCATCTCGTGTCAACACAGCTTCGCTCGATCACGAAGACAGGACTAAGGAGATATCAGAAGATGAAAAAGCAAAACGCCAAATAGAGTTCAATAAAAAGTGGGGTAAAAAGATTAAAGAGTTTGGAATGATGAACAAGCCGACTGATAGTCAAGCTTTTTTGACAAAGAACCCCGATCTCGTATGCGAGGAAACGGCTAATTATTTAACTTTGTGGTGCATTGACTTAGCTGTAGAAGAGAAGTTTGCGCTAATGGAACAAGTTTCCAGTCAAGTTATTTCTATGCAATATATGCTAACATTGGGAAAAGAATTGAAACTGGACCCTAGAGCTGCAGTGAGACCATTTTATGACCGTTTGAACAAAGTGAACCAGGAGTACATGGACGTTTTCAATGATGAAGTGAGTGCATTCCGAACCAGAATCAGAAATCGGGCCAAAGAGAGAATCGAAGAAGCGATGAAAGAAGTAGAAGAGGAGGAAAGGCAGAAAAGACTTGGTTAGCATTTTTTTAAATTAGAATGAATAAAATGAAAAAAGTTCTCGGAAATGTAGTAGAATTTTTAATGTTGATCAAATTGGTTTTTTAAGGGCTGTAATATATACACCGCTTCACACGTTGACGTAGTTGAATTACCGTTTGTACTAGTTCTTTCGAGAGTGGTCGGAACAAAAGGACCCTCATTTACCGTCAATTTCTGCGCCGTCCGTTTAATTTGCGTGAGAATACGCGCGAAAATTTTATTTTTTAAATTCTTTTTGGAAAGGTTTGACCGAAAAAATGCGTCATTTTGGTGCGCGCTCACTCTGAAAATTTGGCGCTGAGTGACCTTGAGAAAAGTAGAAGTACCAAATAGGGATCCTATGGATGTAGAAGTACCAAATGGGGATCCTTTTTGGTAGTGTGGGGGTCAAAATTCCTGAGAGGGGGACTCTCTGCCCAACCTAGTTTTGCTAATGATTGACTCTTCTAGGGCCCGGAGGCTTAGACCCCGTTGAAGTGTACGAAGAATTGCCAGATGACCTCAAGAAGTGTTTTGACACGAAGGATATTCAGATGTTGAAAGACACTTTTGAAAAGTATGAACCAGCCGAGGCGCAAGTGTTGCTGAAAAAATGCATTGATAGCGGACTTTGGGTACCCGACAAGAATGCAGCGGCTTCTGAGGAAAAAGAGGACGAAGAAACTGCAGTTGAGGGTCAAGGAGACAATGAATACGCAACTGTTTCGAACGAAGAAAAGGCAGATTTGGCATAATTTTGATGATCTAATTTAAGCACAAAAAGAGAACGTGGAGGCACTGCACTGTTTACCAACTGAATGATACCCTAAATTGTATTTTGCTTGATATGTTGAGATTTTTTTTACCAGTAGTCAATTTTACGATAAATATGTCAAATATTATTGTTATGTCAGATTAATTTGATAAAGTTAAACAGCCTTTTTTTGGAAAAAAAATATAGCTCCCCTTAAAGCTGGAAATGTGAAGTTAAATGAAATGCGACTTTAAATGAATGTTTTTTTTTTTTCGATTTCAGAAGCATGGATGCAGACTACGAAAGTATTCTGCTTGTAAAAAACGAAGTTTTCGTTTATCAGATTCCACCTAGGACCAGTAACAGGAACTATCGAGCTGCAGATTGGAAGCTGGAGACCCCCCAATGGACGGGAAGAATGCGCCTCATATCCAAATCAGATAAACTCTTCCTCAAATTAGAAGACCGCGACTCTTCCGTCCTGTTTGCACAATGTCCAATAGAAGAGTATCCAGGGCCTGCAATTGAACCAGTGTCTGACTCGAGTCGTTATTTTGTGATCCGAGTTGTGAGTGACAAAGGCGACAAGGCTTTTATTGGAATTGGTTTTGCAGACCGAGGAGATTCTTTTGATCTTAATGTAACGCTACAAGATCACTTCAAGAAGTTAAAGGCACCAGATTTTGCACAATGTTCAGAAGCGGACTCTCATGCTCCGAAACTTGATCTTAGCTTGAAAGCGGGGGAGACAATTAAAATAAATATCGGAGGTAAAGGCGAGAGTAGTAGACCGAAAAGACCTCAAGGCAGTTCATTAGGAGGTGGAATTGGTCTTCTTCCGCCACCCCCGGGACCGAGTAGTAGAAATAGAGGCGGGACAACTCAGCCTCTGTCACCGCCACCGACTAGTGGTGTTGCTTCGACCGGAACTAGTCACAGCAATGTTGCTGCTTTTGGATCCCCGTCGACAGCGCCAACAACATCTGCAGCCAAAACTAACGACGATTGGTCAGATTTTTTGTAAGTTTTGGTACGAATTGTTTTGTTTTGTGTAACTGATGTACATGGCGGCGTTAAAGAAAAAATAATTAGAAGTGTCATTGAATAAAATAAACTTCATCAGATTGAGTTAACTTCACAAATGGTAAACTTTATCAGGTTAATAAATATTTATCTGATGAAATCATGAATTCCATCCCTATCAAAATGTTCGTGCATATTTCGTCGGTCGAGAATTATAAATTATTTCAGAGGTCAACCAGCTGCAAATCAAGGTCCTAAAGGTTCCCAGCCGCCTGCAAGTTCTGCCACGCCTTTCGAGGATCCACTGCTGCAATTTTAGCCAGCCACGAATGCTTGTCTCCGATTTGCACCAGATAACTTGATTGAAATTGGAATGTAACAATTGCTGTATAATTTCCTGTAGCCCCCTCTTCCCTTCCTTCCTCTGTATCTGGTCTGAAAATAGAACATTGTTGTAATTTTGCTAGCAATCAATTATTACTTAATCTGATTTGCAGATGTTCGATTTATTGTGTTAGAAGTAGTTTCTGAAAATACAAATATTTATAATTTGATTCGTATTCGCTTTCAAAGTCTTTGAATGTTATCTTATCAACTTTGTAGTCTAAAGCAAAAAATAGCACCAAATGCAGACCTTTTGAATGGCGAGGGTATCGAATTCCCGAGAGGGGAGTACGCGTTCCCTTAAATTCAATACTGGCCTTCTTTTGTTGTCGGTTTTGTAGACGCTAGTGTCAAGAAGACAAAAGGAATAACGAAATAAAAGATCTCTATAAATAAAATTTTCCAATAAAAAACAAGGGTAGCCATTTGCTGTGCAATTTCCACTGAATATCCTACGATAAAGTATATAAACTTAGAAGTGCTTAAGACGTGGGAGGTAGTTCCATTAGGTAACAATCTGCAAGATTGCGGACATAATAGCTAAAAATAGCTTGAAAATTTCTGTTCAGTTGAAGATGAAGTTCACCCTTTCCTTTGAGTAAGTTATTCTGATAAACGGAAAAATTTATTCTTTCTCGAAATAAAATATTTTTTTTTCGGACGCCGAATTACGAATTTTAACTCATATGTGGCCAAATAGAGTATTAGATTAAATGCATATTAATAATTTGATACTTTATTTGGTTCAATACGAGGTGAGGTACCTCAAATTGCGAAAAGCTCATTCACGCTATATTTTTTTTAGTTAACCAGCCTGAGTAGTCCTAACCCTGAGGTTAATTATTTTAGTTTAACTAAGCTAAGATATATTGCTTGAGTGATGTCCTCGGAACAAAAATGTTGTTTGTTAGTTATTTGTTGTTGTTTCAATAGTTTTCTTGAGTAAATATTGCCAAGTTTTCAATCAAAATTGGAATTTATTTTCGATTTACTTATTGCGATGTGAAATCAAATTATTTGCATCTTTTGATTGATTTTGCGTAGGGCTTCACCAGAATGTGTGAGACCATTAACCTCAAAGGATGGAAATCACGAGTTCTCGATTGCTGTTTTTTTTCTCGCAGTTTCAGTTATTGCTTCCGAAATGAATAAAGCGTCGGTTTGACCTCGTGGGTTCATGGTCGAAACGTCATGTTCTGAAAATCCAAAAAATGAAACGTTGGTTACACTAGTGATCAGATTAGTGTGCTATAGGAACCTTCTTTTTTCTCTAACCTAACTCGCAAATAAAAGTGTTCACTTATTTGGTTTGTAATTTCGACTTGTTTCGATGCTATGAAATTTCCAATGCTACAGGAAATTTCACTGTAGCATTGGAAATTGCATAGCATCTGTTCTATTCTTGCTTTTGTGGCTTGTGTTTGGTGCCTTTTAAGCGTCCGTGAGTGAGTGGTTAGTGTGTGAGACTCATAATCTCCAGGTTGCAGGGTCGAATCTCAGACCTAGCCGATTTTTTTTTTACTAATACGGGGCTTATTTCTATTTTTCTTTATTGTTCTCGTTAGTGTTTGCGAAGCGAAGTTTTGCTTCTGTGTTAAAACTTAGCGACCAAGGCGTTCAAAATTTGAAATCAGCAATTTCCATACTAAATGTTTTGTAGCTTGCTAATACTGTTTGTTATCCTCTGAAACGTAAAAATTTGCTATCGCTCAATTAATTTCCATTGCTGCCTCTGTTTATTATAAGAAAGAAAGGTTATCTTTCCTATTTCAAAGAATTTTCCGTATTTTTCATATTTTATTTAAAGATTGGTATTGAAATTGGCAACTGAAATGTCACCTCTTCACACAAAATTATTCCAATTAACTGTATGTTCAAAACTTTTTCAGTAAAAGGAAGAGTATAAATAACTGGATGATGATGAATATGAAACAAATTTCAGACAAAAATTGAATTAAGGCATTTTTCGATATGGGAGGGGATGGACGAAAGGCCTGATTGATGTCTAGCCGAAACACAATTTATAGTCAAAATTTGAAACAGGCAGGCATGATTAGACAGCATTTATAGACCAATAAAAGCGCCACGAAAAATGATTAGGCGTGATTAGACATCATTTATAGATCAATAAAAGCGTCACAGAAAAGTATGTATACATTAACAAAAACTACTAAGTTTAATCCGCTGGGGAGGTTGTCCCCGTCAAGAAAAGATATAGCAGTACTTGATAGTGAACATATATTCATTCAATCTAATAAACACAAAAAATATGATCAACAAATGTTCAATATTTCTCACATTCTTAAATTCTTCTTTTTTACACCAAAAAAGGTCACAGATTCCATGATGCTTTGCTACTGATATCATAGCATCCACTAACTGAAGTGAGTTACTGTATTTTAACTAAATGAATCACTCTTTTGAAAAAGTGGTATCGTGATCGAAACACCGTGGTGTCATTTTGCCTTGTTTTTTCTTTTAAAGAATCTTAAGTGTTTTTTAATGATTTGTTCAAGCTTTATCATTTTCAGAATTCAACTTCGCAAGTGCACAAAAAGGCCATTTTTAGCACGTTCTTTAAACTACATTCGCCTGCGGCATTAAAATTTTTAAAAAATGGTGTTTTGGGAGACTTCATAAAATCAATATGGTCTGCCTAAAAAAATGCTCGCGTTATTTTCAGGTCAATACAAATTTGGCACTCAAGATTCAGTTCAAATTGAATTGAAGACAACCAATTCGATTAAACACTGATTGAATGAGCGAAGACTTGAATGTTCCGACTGCCCTTTAACGTCTGTGAAATTTGTAAATTGATGAAAGTGTTTGATTTGTAAATTGATGATTTTTTTCAGTGTTTTTTTTGAAAAATCTTTCCAACACGCTATATAAAGTTCAAAGTGATGTAATTTGCGTTAAAATAATTTGAAATGATTTCTGAGTAGAAATAAATCATCGCTTAAGCCTCGATGTACCGCAAATTATTCAAACCACCATAAATTTAGGAAAAATGATTGCAGGTAAAATATCCTTTTAAGTTGAATTTAGGACACCAATACCTTACAGATGGCATAAAAATTTAGTTCAAAAATGGATATCAAATATGTGAAAACTAAAAAGCAAATCATTCGCAAATATTCGGTCGCTCTCTTGATGTATAAATGTACCCAAATTATGTCCTTTGTCACTTTGAGGGTTTTCGTTTTTTTTTTTGTTTTTTTCTTGCTCCTGATTCTGGTGTCATATAAATGACCTAAAGAAAGTTTCATTTGGTATTCCAACCCTTAAGTGAAGGAAATTTGGATTCAGGTGTTTTCCAGTCAAATGTCTTTTATCAAAAAGAAATATTGAACAGGTTCGTTTTATGAAGAAGGATCAGTTGTGGTGCTGTGATTGAAACTGCAATAAAGCAATTAAAATAAAAGTACATTAAAGAATTTGAGAAAATTCAGCTTCTGAACAACTGGCTTCTCATAGTTATCACTTTTTTGCATCGACCAATTTTGTATTCACATGTGCGGCGAATTTCTGGACAGGAATTTTTGTATTCGGTTTTGACTTAGTTTCCACGCAATGCAAATCAGAACTAAAGAAAAGTACGCGATCGAATGTTCTAGCCGCTATTGAGGCACCATCGTAAATTACGACAGCGCTTCTCGGCGTCGAGAAAAGCCGGTCTGAATGTTCAAGTTTTCAAGCTCATGGCGCCAAATATTTTCAAATATTGTGTTTTTTTTTCAGCTGTTATCGAGAAACTGAAATTTGATTTTTTTGTCAATCGTGATTAGCCAGCATTGTAAGGTTGGAACTTAGGGCTTTATTTACATATTCTCAGGAAAAAATTTTACACAAACTCTGAATCATTTGATAACTTTTAATTTATTTTACGTAAAATAAAATGAAGTTTACGTACCCATTGGACGTAGAGGGATTTCCAAGCTGATGACAACAATTGCTTTCAGGAACAGGTGTTTGTCGGCCAAACTTTAATTTTCAGTGTACCGTGTTTCTGCTTATTTACCAGCTTAGTTTACTTCTATTGTTCGCTTGTTTTCTGCAGACTTAATTAACGGATCACCTAAGATAAAGGCTTTTCCTTTTTAAAAATAAAACTACAGGCATTTATACTTTAATTAAAACTGATTTCACTGTGGTCTGGTTTTGGCAAGTAATTTAATTCTAAGTTTTGGCAATTTTTTTAATGTATGGAATTCGGGTTCTATTTTATGTGAAACTGAAAATTTTCGACTTTGGACTTTCGTTTCGACTTAGGTCCCGGAGAAAGTTCGGATTCTTTTTGGCATTTTGAAAGCACTTTGTGAAGACATTTATGGCGCAGATAATTTTTTCGAGGATTTTTTGACCTCATTCTCAATGTTTATATCATAGTCATTCATTGTTCTATCGATAGTGGTGCAAACTCAGCTTAGCTTCTTTGTGGTATTTTACAATAGATGGCAGATTCAAATGATAGCAAAATATGCGTAAAATTTGAATTTTTGCACAACGTTTCATCTGGCAGATTGCGGTGTTTACAAAAAATGTTTTAGTGATGCTAGATATTTAATACATGCATTAGTCTTATGCATTAGCCAATGATATCTTGAAAAGAAATCTGATTATCCCTCATTACTTCACATATGATTTCTAAAGTTTGAATGATTTTTTAAACTGCAGCTTTTTACACAATAAGCGTGGTTCCATGCGATTAGTTTTTTTGTAGCCTATTTGCAAAGTTTAATTGTTACTTTTAAAGTTTTTGGTTCAATTTTTTAAGTTTACATTGTTTGTCAAACTAGGATTTTCCCACAAACAAGCCAAACGCAGTGTTAAGAGGTCAGGTCATACATATTGATGCATAGTTTTTTGCAAAGTTCAATATTTGATTACACTGCAATAATCCTGTTTGAGGTATCTTTTCAGGTGCAAATACCCTTCAACAAAGCTTCTATTTGCCATTTTCAGTCATGTTTGCGAAATGCAACTTCGCTTCTGCGTGAAAATCTTTTTGCGTGGAAAACTTTTTTATCTTCATCCTACAACTTGAGGTTTTTTCTGCTCTTTAAAATAATCGTTTATTTTACAGGCAATTGTTGGCTTCTTCTACTTTATGTGGTCTTCATTTTCATAAAAAATTAACATGCAGGTTTTAAAAATTTTTTAAAATTTTAGGTTTCAGGAAACTTTAGATATATATGTGATTTTTCGACTATTCAAAAGAAATTGTAAAATTTTATCTCTCTGCGGGGCTGTTGGTTTCCATCTCGGTGACAAATGATTTGATGGCCTTGAAATCAGTCGATCAAATTGTAGTTGGAAACGAACAGTCGGAAGGCGTTGGAGCTCGGGTTCGAAGGACGATCGGAAGTTACTCGTTGAGACGCTTGGATCCCTTCCTCTTTTTGGATGAGTTCAAAGGCGAGTGGCCCAATGGGTTTCCAGACCATCCTCACAGGGGATTCGAAACTGTTTCTTACCTTCTGAAAGGTAAGAGCGATGAAGCGGTTAATTACAGCAGTCGCCCATTGCAGAATGAAAGTTTTCGTGGATAACAACTGTTTGGTTCATTTAAACGAGTTTCATGTGCTACAACATTACATGACCAGTTGAATGAATGAATATTCTGGGTAGTTATATAAATAGGCTTACAATTCATTTCAAGTGGTTGTCGCCTTGTGGATAAACAACACAAATGCAAGGAAGTAATAGTAATGTCCACGCTGGAGATGACAGGAATTATTGGTTCGAGCCCGGCCAGGACCTGTTCTTTTTGCAAGCTTTTTGAATATTTTTGATCAGAAATTTCATGTTCGGGTTATAGTATCTGATTCGTTTTTGTCGGATTAGTTGCCTTATATTAGAGTTTGAAAAATATTCAAATTAGTTTAACTTTGGTGAACACTCGGAAATATTTGCATCGGAAGCGACGCGAAGTTCGGCTTCGGCTGCGGAAGTTTTGATTTTGAGCTCCTTTATGGAAAAGAAGTAGTTCATGTATCAGTGGCATATCATTGTAATCCAGAGTAGATTCAGTTTATTCCGGCCGCGGTTTTAAAACAAACTTCAGATCATGTGTTTTTTGTTTCACGTGGTCAGATGTCTGCACCTGAAATGGTGCAGAAGTTAAGTGACATATCATCGGTTGATATTAACTAGCGATCGATAGACAAATTTGTTAGTAAGCTCAATTATGTTAGATTTTGCTAAGCGTTCTACTGTTTAGGAGCGTTTCAACACGAAGACTTCACAGGAGCGGCTGGTTTGTTAGAAGCCGGAGACGTCCAGTGGATGACTGCGGGTAGAGGTATCGTGCACTCGGAGATACCGGGCAAAAATGCTGGGCCTGTTTGGGGACTACAGCTCTGGGTCAATTTGAAAGCGAAAGATAAAATGGTGGAACCCAGGTGCGCCTTGAATCTCCTTTTAAAACAACATCAGAAAGTTAATTGAGTCGAGTGAAGACTTTGAGACGTTTTCGTCTGAAGTAATTTTATTTTAGAACGTTTTATTGCCAAGGAAGCGCAAAATGAAGATTTCAAAACTTGCTTTTCTGGAGTAATAATACGGTGTTTTTCACTGTTTTTACACTAGCGTCAGCTTAATGCATTATTAAGAACCTTTTTTTCTACCCTAAGTCGCAAATATTGGTGCCTCTTTTGGGGCAACTTTGCAGCTTTTTGATAGCATGTGCCTTGGCATTCGAATAGTAATTAGTTAACACAGTGGATGCATTTTAGTTCATTAAATGAACCGAGAAAAAACTATTTGTTTTAAACAGCATAACCATAAAAACTTGATTTCAGAATTTTTCTAGCTCAATATATCTTGCAATTTTTTTTACAAATTGCATAATTTAGAAAATATGTGGCTTTATGTTTTGCGATTTGTTACATAAAGTTTTTGTGAATACCTTCTGTTTGTTACATTCCAAATGATTACTTGCAAAATTGTGTCTATTTGTATTTGGTGCCAGTTTTGCTGATTTGCATGGGCAATTTATTAGCATATGATGCTGCCTTAATCGTGACTAGTAGTTGTCGGCTTAATTTAGGCCGTTTACAATAGCTTATTTATTCTTAAATTTAGTTTACTCGAGTAAATTATCTTTTGGAGATTTTTATTGCCATTTTGGGAATCAAAAATTCAAAAAAAATTCATTGAAGTCATTTTTCTTCAAAATCTGGTGTCCTGTTTGTTCATACTACTGTAAATCTAGATTATGACTAAAATATGGTTCTTCTTCAGATCGCCTTATCACACCACACAGAAAAAAACTACACTTATTTGAAATTTTTTTCTTGTAGGTTTTTAAAGGCTATGGTCGAAACATGCTACCGGCTATCCTTGTTTAGTTATGGATATTTTTCCAACGTTTTTTTTGCAATAATTGGATAGCAGACGTAAAATTTTAATACTGCGTTGACAGTCTCTATTAGGATTTTTAATGATCTTGGGTTGGCGTCGAAAATTTGGGCACTCGCCACTCACTGTGCCCCATAGCCAATTATCCAAGAAGTTCAAGTCGGGACTTTGTGGGGTCAGGAGATATTGCACGAGATTCAGTTTATGAACTTAGCCAGTTAAGCACCTGCTCTGTGCAGTGACAGGTTGCCCCAGCTTGTTAAAACCAAATTCTTGGGAGGTCTCTTCGATTCTCAATAGACGGCCAGAATCAATTTTGCTATAATTCAAGTTATGTGACCTGTTCAACTAAATACTCTTGCTGCTCGCATCAAGGAAACAAAACGGTCCTATGGCGGCGCCTTTGAGAACTCTTACCCAACGTATTACCTTTTTCTTGCCTTGGTGCCGATATTCTATAACCTCGTTAGAGTTGGTCAAGCTACAGTGCCTATCGTCTTCAGAGTTTGGCGAGGAGTCGAGAATCCATCACTTTTCGTCACTGAACACCTCGGTTTGTTATAAATTATGTTGTCCCAAAAACCATAATGCAAAAGTAATCCTCTGAAATTTTGCGCTTTTTCAAGTGTTTGTAGGGTTTAAGTTTGTTTTGGTGACACGCCATGTTTTTGTAATGCTGAGTCGTAACTCGGCGGCAGCCTGCCGTACAGAGTCGTTTGGGTCGTTCACGGAATGGTCCTTAATCCGTTGTTGATATCTTTGGTCATCTCCGTATTTTCCTTCCTTTTTACCTCCAACTGTTTTGGCAAGTGAGTTTCGGAAACGTTACATCACATTCCGAAAGTCCGTCTGTGGTAACAGGTAGTTGGACGTCCTTTGATGTTGTAATAGAGAATAAATTGCCTTTGTACTTCATTGTCCGAGGAGAGTTTGGCATACAAAAGAATGATTAAGTTTTTCTTGTTCGTTAGTGAATTTCATCATTGCATGAACAAGTGTGACAAAAAGTTTCCAAACGTTAAAAAAATTGAGGAAATGCGAGTAATTCAATAACTGCCTGCACAAGCGCAAATAGTTTGCAGTTTTTGAAAATTTCCGTCTCTTGTATATCTAATGGTATTTTTTAAGAACCAGTCCGTTTCTTTATCGCAAAATTACACGTTTCAAATAGGTAAAACAGTGAGAAACACCCTGTATGTTTTTAACGTTTCAACAAAATCTTTTCCTATTATGAAACCTACTCGTTAAAAGTTGGGCTAAAAAGCAAACATAGCTCAATAAGTATTTGAGACATGCTTATAACCACTTGAAAATAGTTTGAGTGAAAACAGCATGAACGACTGTGGAAAGCCAAAATCTACAATATCGAAGCTCAAAAATTTTATTCAGAGTGTAAAAAGAAAAAAGAATCAATAAAACTGAGGCATATTTTTTTCTGTCCTTAAACGACAAAAAGCTTTGGCGTACAATATTAAGGTGCTGCGGAGAACCATTTTTGCTATTCAGATACAAAGCTAGAGCACGAACCCTGGTAAATTGCTTTCCTCGATGAGGCTATGGTCACTAAAACAAAAATTTGCAAAAAAAAAAACTTTTTTTTTTCATAAATTTTAATTTTTCCCTAATTTTTTCTCGATACTCATATAAAATAAACTTCAGTCGGCCAATTGATTGCGTGCTATAAACACATGACCCATCTTCTTGCGTTTGCTGGCGTCTTTTTTGTAGAGTTTACTCGTTTTTGCTTGGGGGAGATAGCTCAATTGGTCATTACGGGGGGGGGGGGGGGCGGAATTACTCAATTGATCCAGCAGTTGTTTTCTAATTCAGAATTATCAACTTTCATCTGACTGTCATTTTTTAAGAGTCGATGAGCGTAGTGAATACTTTAATGCATATTTTGGTAATTTTCGTGTTTTTTTTTCAAGAAAGTCTAAAATGCTCTAATGACTACAGAAGTGCGTTCATTTATGCACTTTTGCGTTCAGCTTACATTCCTCTGCTTAAAGGTAACTTATTTGCGTTCTTCAAATACGAACGTGGAAATGGCGTGAACGAATTACTCAATTGATCAAGCAGTTGTTTTCTAATTGGGACTTTTCAGAATTATCAACTTTCATCTGACTCACTTTTTAAGAGTCGATGAGCGTAGTGAATACTTTTATGTTTGTTTTGGTAATTTTCGTGTTTTGTTTCAAGAAAGACTAAAATGTTCTGATGACTACAGATGTGCATTCATTTATGCATTTTTGCGTTCAGTTTACAATCCTCTTAAAGGTAACTTATTTGCGTTCTCCAAATACGAAGGTGGAAATGGCGTGAAAAAATGTAAACGATTTCTAGTTTCGAACTTGGAATTTAGTTTTTAGATTTTCCAGCGGAATAAAAATTTTATCCATTGTCCCAGTTTTCTCAAATAGAATTTTTTTTTATCAAAGAAGTGTCAACCATATTTTCGTCCTGAAGTTCAAAGAGAGTTAAGGCCATCAATTTTAACTTAAAATTCGAAAGTTTTTTCAAAAATGTGTCAATTTTTTTTTCTGTTTCCTTGCGTTCCTTGACTCTTTTCTGACTGTCTGTTGGCTATGTTTACTGACTACCTCTCAGAACTCGGTTTATATTCAGTAATCACTGAACTGCTGTTAGGCGCTCAATGTATTTCTTTACAAACTTGATCCGTGGATTTCTGAAATACCCTTTCTCGAACTTGCAAGTTTCTTGTTTTTTTTGTCAATTTCTTGCCTCTGCTTCTGTTGTCTTAGTTCATTTTTTAGTGTTTTTGCGAAAAAGATTATTTTGCGTATTTAAACATTATTCGGAAAAGCGTAGAGCAAGTTCAGTTTCAGAAGTTGACAGAAATTGTTTGGCGTAATTAGTTTGCGGCTTAATTTGAATTGGCTCTTTCAATCACCTATCAACCTTTTAAAACTTTTGGCGTTAGATTTAGACCTCAATTGGTTCTATTGGGCACTTTTATTAAACAATTCATTTTAGTTGTTCAGTCGACAAAAATTTTGTCTGTATTTTGCAACTGTTTTTTTTTTAATTCAATTTAAGCAGCTATATATATATATTTGCAAAAATGACAGTTGGGGTAACGCTATTTAAGCTAAAAAAAACTGCTCTGCGAGGCCATTTTACGAATATCGTCCCCAAACTAAAAAAAAAACGAATTATTTGCAAAAATTTTCGGCAAAGTGCACAGTAGTCAGATCTTGTTACACTTGATTAGGAAGTGTTAGTAGTAGTAGTAGTAGTAGTTGAGGCTTCTGAGGCTTGGGTATTGCATCTGATGAATGTAAGTATGTTGTGTGAATTTAAAAGGTACCAAGAGAAGAAAGCCAAAAACATTCCTAGAGGTGAAAAAGACGGAGTGAGTGTTGCAGTGATAGCGGGCGAAAGTATGGGAGTGAAGAGTCCCGTGCAAACTTTGACACCAGCCTACTATCTGGATTTCACAATTGAACCGGGCTGTTCGTTCACGCAAGATGTGCCTCAGGGTTGGAACTCGTCTTTATATGTTGTACAGGGTAAGTGTCATTACTACTGCAAACTACTGGAATTTCTTTCCCCTCTCTATCATTTAGTGTCATAAGTGGGTTGTTTGTTCACCCTATTTTCTGGTGAAAGATGGTCCAACGCGCTTGCAGAGTAATTTGGATCGGTCCTTGTTTAGTTTTTGTGTTTATAATTTTGATCAAATCGAAATACTATTTATTCTGCTCAATTGTGTCGTCAATTTAAGAGGTTTTTCATCCGATTCGTTTCAAATAGCGCGTATTATTAGCAACTTAGGTATTAGGCAAGATTTTACCAAAGGGTTAGATGATGCATTATAGCTCATTGCTGGCTGTATATTTAATGAGAGATGAATAAGTTCCTTATTCATTTGAAAACCTACGTTAATTTCGAACAAAGGGTTACAAATATGGTTTAGGCTCAGTTACTATTAACTCAGCGAAAAAAGTCAATGTTCACGAGTTGGCAGTTTTCTCAATCGACGGAACTAAAATTTCGATGAGCAACGCGGCCACTTCAAGTGAACCAGTAAAACTTATTCTCATAGCTGGCCAGCCATTAAACGAACCAGTTGTACAACATGGTCCATTTGTACTAACAAACGAAGAAGATTTGATGAAGACATTCGATGATTATCAGAAGGGAAAGAATGGGTTTGAAAAAGCACCTGGCTGGAAATCAAAGCAAGGAACAGAAGCTTTGAAAGCGAGAGGAAAACAAGGTCGAGATTTGTAACACATATCTAGATTATTTAGTCAAAAAGTCAACATTATTGTTCGTGTCATATCTGTTCTAAATTCATCGAGCTACTTAATTGTCAATTTTCGACTTTCGTAAAATGAAAACCATAGAAAAAGTAGATTTTATTTTCTCAACTGATTAAAGTTGAAATGTAAAATATTCCTTTGAATTTAATTAGATCTATCTTTCGTTCATTTTCTCTAATAAACAAGTTCATTTTTCAAGTGTTAGCTTGGTTAGAACAATATTCTTGTAATTAACTGATTAGATTAAAAAATGACTGATTTTCTTCATTTCAGAAACAAAACATGGTATAAATTCTGTCTTTCTAAACCGAAAGTAAGTTATGTCTAAAGAGCCGTATTCTGTAATACACTGGTTTCGAAGAGGTCTGAGACTCCACGACAACGCAGCTTTGCTAGAAGCTCTCAAACCCATCAATGATGGAGACAGATTCATTTTGAGACCAGTTTATATAATAGATCCCTGGTATAAAGCAAATGTGAAGTGTGGACAAAATAGAACACGATTTCTGCTTCAATCCTTGCAAGACTTGGACAACTCACTTCGTAAATTAGGATCATCCTTATACGTTGCAAGAGGGGATCCTGTTGAAGTTTTCGAAAAACTATTCACTAAATGGGAAGTTAAAAAGATAACCTGGGAAGTAAACACGGAACCCTATGCGCGCGAAAGAGACAGAAAAGTATCTTCAGTGGCCAAAATGCTTAAAGTAAAGGTTACCGAGTGCGATGGACATACATTGTATAACCTGGATTTCTTGTTGTCGAAAAATAACGGAAACGTTCCTCTAACGCAACAGAAATTCACATCGCTTGTAACTTCAATTGGACATCCCGCCAAGCCGCAAAAAGCTCCCGAATGTCTGAAAAAATTTGCACCTTCATCTGAAGTTGAAAAAGAGCTCGAGTTACCTTCCCATGATGAGTTTTATTTAGATGAGTCTGCAAGTGGAAAATGTTTGTTTCCAGGCGGAGAAACTGAAGCCTTGAAGAGACTTGAAGAGAAAATCTGTTTCGAAAACGCAAAATGGGTTAGAGAGTTTGAGAAACCGTTAACATCACCGAACTCTCTTGAACCTTCGACGACGGTACTTAGTCCTTATGTAACGCACGGGTGCTTGTCATCAAGGACATTTTATTGGAAACTTTTCGATGTCTATGAAGGTGCGAAGCATTCGAAACCTCCAGTATCACTGAAAGGTCAGCTATTTTGGAGAGAGTTCTTCTACACAGTAGGAGCTCATACTGAAAACTTCGACAAAATGGTAGGGAACAAAATATGCCGACAAATTCCATGGGAAAGTAATGAGGAAAAGTTAAACGCTTGGAAAAACTCTCAAACAGGATTCCCGTTTATTGATGCAGTGATGACGCAATTAAGAGAAGAAGGTTGGATTCATCATTTAGCCAGACATAGTGTGGCTTGTTTTCTGACACGAGGCGACTTCTGGCAGTCGTGGGAAAAGGGAAAAGAGGTTTTCGAAGAGTACCTTTTGGACCATGACTGGAGTCTAAACGCTGGAAACTGGATGTGGATGTCGGCTAGTGCGTTTTTTCACCATTATTACCGAGTTTATAGTCCAGTTGCATTCGGAAAAAAGACAGATCCAACTGGTGCCTACATACGGAAATACTTACCCCAGCTTGAAAAATTCCCAAATGAGTTTATTTACGAACCCTGGAAGGCGCCGTTGTCAGTGCAAAAAGATTTGGGGGTAATTATTGGAGTTGACTACCCAAAACCAATAGTAGATCATGGAACAGCTTCGAAACAAAACATTACAAAAATGAAAGCAGCTTTTGCAGCTGCGAGTAAAGCGAAGGCCCAAAACGATGCCGATTTTTCGCCGCCTTCAAAGAAGAAATCGAAGTTACTCGAGTGAGGTAAAATTGTGAACCTGAAATATTTGTTCAACGATTTCAAAACAGTTGTGCAATATTTGGAATTTCATTTTTTTTCTCGAAAAACATATTAAATAGAAAACTAACCCCTGCCTGTGTTAATATCAGAATGTTCTGACTCCATTCGAGCTGAATTTTTAGTTGCGATAAGATACAGTTTTTTGTTTTGCTTGGTGTTCAGAAAAAAAGGGCTGAGTACAGGCGCGGATCTAGGATTTTCTTGAGGGGGAAGGCGGATCTTCAAAAAAAAATTTGTCGACCTTTTTTTTTTTAGGTCGAACAAATTGATTTTCTGAGCTCTCCCAAATCATTATAAAGACCCCGTTTTGACCAAATTTTCTGCGCCATTGGCAAATTTTTGAAAAAACAGGCCATCAAAGGCATTTTTAGGCACTTTTTGGAAAATATCGACCAAAAAATCGCGTTTTTTCAGCGCGCGCTCCCCCCTCACAATTAGTATATATTGGCGCCAAAATTGGTTTTTCGAGCTCTCCTAAAACAGTAAAAAGAGTCTGTTTTGGTGTTTTGGCCAAAATTTCTGCGCCGCAGGCAAATTTTTGAAAAAATAGGTCAAAAAAGCCGTTTTGGGCACTGGGCACTTTTTGGAAAATTTTGACAAAAAAAATCGCGTTTTTTTTGGCGCCCGCTCCCTATCAAAGTTAATCTATATTGGCGCCCAAGGCGCCTTTAGAAAAATTTTAGGGCCGGTCGGCCAAAAATGGATTTCTGAAAAAGTACCAAAGGTGGGACCTTTTGCGTCGGCAGGGGGTCGACTCCCTGAGGGGGGGGGGGGGGCGTCCGCCCCCCCCCCCCTAAATCCGCCCCTGATGCCATTAATATTTACTAATTTGAGTTATACAGTTAAACAAAATAGTGTTTACTTTATGTAAATTAGAATTAATTAATTCGACACAGCTTGTTAGAGCTAGTGATAGAAAATAATTCAGAAATAACTAACCGATTTTTATTTCATCAAGTTAGCTGAGATAGAAGAGAGATACATACTGACAAGACCCAAGTGTCCGTAGCAAGCTACTGCTTGAAACATCTGGAATAGACCTTTTATACAGTAGGGAACATTACATGGTGATAGGAGTACCAAGCAAGTGTCTGGTGTCACATATGTAGCTGGATAAATTGGAAAATTGTGTCTTGGCGCCTTTAGAAAAATTTTAGGGCCGGTCGGCCAAAAATGGATTTCTGAAAAAGTACCAAAGGGGGGACCCTTTGGGTCGGCAGGGGGTCGACTCCCTGAGGGGGGGGCATCCGCCCCCCCCCTAAATCCGCCCCTGATGCCATTAATATTTACTAATTTGAGTTATACAGTTAAACAGAATAATATTTACTTTATGTAAATAAGAATTAATTAATTCGACACAGCTTGTTAGAGCTAGTGATAGAAAGTAATTCAGAAATAACTAACCGATTTTTATTTCATCAAGTTAGATGAGATAGAAGAGAGATCCATACTGACAAGACCCAAGTGTCCGTAGCAAGCTACTGCATGAAACATCTGGAATAGACCTTTTATACAGTAGGGAACATTACATGGTGAGAGGAGTACCAAGCAAGTGTCTGGTGTCACATATGTAGCTGGATACATTGTAAAATTCAGCGACCTTAAGTTTTTAAACATCAATCAACGTGATTTTCACTGCCTACTCCGCACTTCTGCGTACAATTTACCTCTCGCCGGAACGAAAGTCACTTCTACTCTCCCGTTAACAGTTTTCTCCGTCGAGCCCTTCGCCCATGGCGGCTCACCCTACTCACTTCCAGAACCCAATACTGACTAATCCCAGAAACTCCCCAACCCTTTCTATAACCAAGACCCTGCTGACAAAAGGAATCATTAAGAATACTGCAATTTAACTGTAATGGAATACATGGGAAGGCTCCCAAAATCGCAGTTTTCCTAGCACATATTTAAAACCATAATTCTCCATTCCAGGAAAATTTATAGGTCCACTATACTCACTTATCCGTAAAGACAGAAACAAAGAAGGTGGTGGCCTCATCCTTGCTATATACGAATCTATACAGTATGAAGCACTTACTTTAAATACCGACTGTACGCTAGAGGCTAGGAGTATCTCTGTGGGAGCCAGTTCGTTGAAACTTTGTATCAGTAACTTTTAAATACTCCCCATGTCTTGATGTCCTCCCAGCTATACCGCATCCCATACTGATTTCCTGGTTTCTGGTGATGCTCTGGTTCTTGGGGACGCCAACGCCCATTCCTCCCTCTTGATTTCGAATATTCCGAAACGATAGCTACCCGCCTCATTATTCTTTATATTCCGAAACGAGGCTACCCGCCTCAATCTCCTCGGTAAATTACCACCAATCCTTAGGCTCCAACAACCTCCCCATACTTATCGAATTACCACTCATAACGTAACGTTATACACTTTTCTCTGAAAAAGACAAACATTAATATCCTCCGTGCTCATTGGTGGCAATTTACCGAGGAGATTGAGGCGGGTAGCCTCGTTTCGGGGATTCCTTCTTTAAATGCGGCCAGGGAGAAATAATTGAGGGATCTGGTACCCAGGGCAGCCCGCCACCACATCCCCGCCGTGCGTTCCAGCTACTACACCCCATCTTTCTCCCGAGTCAGCTTTTCTCGCCGTTAAAAGAGATCGTGGCCGCCTCAACAATCAGCCCACCATTCATGTTACACATCTTTCCAACCTAACTCCCACCTCCTGAATCAGACAGCATAAGACCTGTGATTACCGCACTGGTGCCAGAAAGTTCTGGAAAGTGGTACGCTCCCTAAACGGATCCAGGCCTGTGGTAGGTAGTCACTCCATTAAGTTTGGCTCTAAGACTAAAACCTCGAATACTGTTCATTAGCAAAAGCGTTTAATAACCATTTTTAAATGCTAGGAATTATGCCTCCGACAAGTTACCCAGGACGCAAAATAGCCAAACTTGTTATAATCCAATTTTCTTCCCTCAACGAACCGAACAAGCCATTGCGGATAGCAAACCCTCTTGAGCACTCGGTCGAAATGGCCTTTGTAATAACCATCTCAAACACAGACATCTTGCACTTGCACCATTCTTTTTTTAACAAAGCACCTCAAAAATGTCAGACACCAACACCCATTCCACTCGCCACAATCGCACTCTCCATCCTTGAATTTTTATTACTTATTTTTTTAAAACAAAACTGACCTCTCGTACCTTCTGTTCTCGCGACACTTGGCCTTTCAAAGGAATTTGATATGGTATGTCATAGAACAATAGTGGAACTCATTCATGACGCACCGCTGCCAAGAGGTATAGTTCGCAGGCTCAGCAACTGTTTGTGGCCGACAAGGCACCACTTTTTTCAACTAACTTTCCTCCCATAGAATTGTTTACTGAGGAGTCCCCAGGGCTCTGTTTTTATCACCGATTCTGTGAAAATTTTACGTCCATGACGTTTCTCCGCCCCCCGAAATTGTTCGCTTCACCTCATACGCTAATGATTTCCACTCTTTGACCAAAAAGCCGACGTTGAGGCAGCATCGCGTTCAGTAAATGGTTATCTGCACCACCTTTTCATTTTTTCACCTCCAGAAAGCTAGCATTCGCGTCCTGTAAAGGATCAGTTACCTTGCTTTCGTCTTACAACAAAGATTTCTACAAAACTCCAACTGCAAACTTACAACAAATTTTTCAATATAACCATAACCTTGCTTAATTCAACAAAACTCGAGCCTCTCCATTTAAAAACAATCCTTAAAATTTTAGGTTTACTTCTGACCCAAACTTATGCGTTGCAGCTCACTGCAAGACATCTGCTGACAAGGCTGGTCAAAGGATAGTCTAATGGGATATTCTCAGGATAGTCTCTTGGGTCCAGTCTAAAGAAACCTTACTTTTATCTTACAAAGCCTTATTTTGCCCTATTTTAGATTATACCTCCCCGGCGTGGGTAGACGCCGCCACCAAAATTTCTATTTATCAATTGCAGGTTTCCCAAAATTAAGCCCTCCGGTTTATCACTGGCTCAATGCTTGTGAGCTCCACTTCTGACCTGCACAGTGAAGTCGAGATCCTGAGCGTTCAAAACCAACACTTTTTCTTAGCTTTGTTTTCAATCTCCACATACCGTTCGCATCACCCAAACCATTATTATCACGCTTAACCCTTCCATCCCACGTCAAGTTCGACAATCCATTTTAAGCGCTTTTAAAAACGACACAGTCTCCCTTTTAACTGACGCAAGTGCGTCATCAAATCTAAATGACTCTTCAAGTCCTTCAATCTAAATGACGTTTTTTACCACTTCAAGTCCTTTCTAAAACAAAAACATACTAGCCTTGTAATAAAGTTCTTAGCAGAAACACGTCCCTCGAAAGTCACCTGTATTCCATCTCCAAACATCGACCCCTCTGAACAGCCCTTTCCCAGAACCACCCGATGTAAGTTTTACCAACTGCGGTCTTGTTACAGTCAGCTTTTAAACCTTTACCTCGCCCGCTTAAATAACCAAGTTTCCCCACTGCCCCAACTATCTCCTGTCACCCCACACTAGTTGCCATATTTTTAACTGCGCCAAAAGTCCCTCACCTTTTATTCCCGCAGAACTGTGGTGACGGCCGATGGAAGTAGCGACATTTCTTAGCCTGGAGACGGATGAGCAGAACCCGCCTTGCATGGGCTTAAGAAAGAAAAGGATAATGTGAATGACTGTTGAGCGACGGCCGCGTATCAGATCCAGGCGTGCTTCAGTTTATATGGATTGATTCTCATTGGTATCTGGACTGATTAGCCAACTACTGAGTGCAAACAGCAGAATTTCAAGGATCCTGACGCACCGTCATTTCTGCTGCTGGTTTTAACGAAGCGCAGGTTCAGCTTTTTGTCCAATTTGAGAATTGGTTTTCAGAATTGGTTGATGTTTATCTATTAGCGAATGAGTCGTATAAAATCGTGAGAATCACATCAGTTGTATATATGTGATATTTGTCAATTAAATTTTTCCCTCCTAGTGGATGTACAACTTGTGAACTTTCTTATGCACGTCCTGGAAAAAATGCGTTTTTAAGAGTAATGAACGTAGTGAAAACTCTTTTATAGGTCTTTGATATTTTTCAGGCTTTAGTTGTTGACGCTTTATTTTGATTTTTCTCGGTTGTACTTGTGATTTGTTTTTGCGCTTTGTGCATTTCCCTTGCTAAAAGGAAGGTAAACTCGACTATAGAATAGCAAAAGTGTAAAGTTCACAAAAAACGTTATTGTCTTCTAGTTTCGAAAATGGAATTTAATAGTCAGATTTTCCAATGAAATCAAATTTTTACGTAGTGTTACGTCTTACAACAAAGATTTCTACAAAACTCCAACTGCAAACTTACAACAAATTTTTCAATATAACCATAACCTTGCTTAATTCAACAAAACTCGAGTAAAGAGAAATCAAACTTTACACTTTTGAACGTTAGTTTTCTGAAATTGGGTTAATTTAATGAAAAATTGTCAATTATTAATTGTTCTAGAAATTCGAAAAGGTTTAAGGTCTTTTTTTTCTTTGATATTCGAACGCTGAGATTTTTCAAAAAACATGTCCGTTTTTTCTGTTTCTTTGCGTTCATTTCTCTTTTCCAACTGTCAGTTAGCTATGTTTTCAAAATATTAATATTCGGAAATATAAAAATTTAGAGATTTTCAAAGTTCAAAAGATAGTAGAAACCCGAAAGTTGAATTTTTCTGGTGTTCATTGGCTCTTTTCCAAATGTCTATTGGCTATGTTTTTTCCTTTCCTTTCTCATTTTTCGCAAATTTTTCGAATAGTGACGAAAGGTTAAATTCGTGTTCTAGTGGGCAAGTATTTTTTGCTTTTTCTTCAATTCTACGTTTTTGTGATTGATCCGAAGGCTGATGTTATGGCTGCTGATAGCGAACAATTTTCACTGAAATCTTACTGGCCTTTCACTGTCGGATATGTTTTGCGTTACTGGATGCTGTGGATTGTCGCTGGTTGCCGAGTTCTGGTAATTTGTGATCGGAGGCAATGATAGTAGGCTGGTTTCTATTGAAAACGGCTGAGAAACGTCAGATATTATCATGTTTAATTTACTGAACGTTATTTTTATTTTTTTTTCGATTAGAATGAATGATTTTGTGCATCTTTCAATAAATGGTTTTCGATCAGGGAATGATGGTTTTCCAGGTTTGATAGTTTTCGACCAGGGAATGAATTGATTGGCTCAAATTTGAGACCCAATCCTATCTCAGATGCAATGAAAACTCATGTATCAAAAACCGGAAGTTTCAATTTCTGTACATTCAGCCCGAGGCTTGATTTCAAGAATAAAGATTAAGTTTTTTGTGTATCACCGAATTAAGACGATGTCAGAAATGCGTCTTCTTTGAAATCTAAAAATGTGCAAATCCAATACTGCTTCTTTCATTTGTGCCAAAGCATCTGGCGCCACATTCAGTCTACTGGGAAACAAATAACTATAAGCTTGATCTAGATCTAGATTTCCTTTTGCATATCCATATGCTACTACTTACATCTTTCTTGCCATTAAGTGATGTTTCCTTTGCATTTCAAACTCTACAGAAGACATGCCTTGCGACAGCCAAACCGATCTTAATTTTTAGAGGGCAATTACATTGGTTGATTCCAGGCGAAAAATGGAGCGCGTCAGTTAATCAGATTCGACATTGACAGTGGGAGTTGCCACCAACGTGCTACAATCGGGCGGGCGGATTATACAATCAGTTGAGGGCTGGATTAGCAACTTCATTAAGCTGGTAAACTCAAAGCACCAATCATTTCAAAAGTTCATTGAAAGAGTTTAGGATGAACAGCCGATCTCCTGATTTAAAAAGAATGCCCCGTTATAAAATCTTTTTTTTTCTGTGAAATTCGACAAAAACATAGTTACCGTCTAGGACCCGAGTGACACACTCCAATTTATAAAAAGATGCAGCTGCAATATGAAATTTTCATTAAAGCTTAATTTATTTTCAAGTTTTTATTGCAAAGGAATAAATTTCAATAAATGTTTTCCAAGTTGATTTTTTATCTACAATTTCTCAAAGTTGACCTAGACCTGTTTCGAAAACTCCAAAGTGATCGATCTAATCAAGCGCTTCTCCGTCCTTTCCTTTAGGACCCAACCGAATCAACACATATCGACTTTGCCCAATGTTACCAGCTTTGTGGTTTGATCTTGAATGTAGCCAAATTGCGAAAATTTTGTCCGAACCGAGATTAAATCTTCGACCTCTATTTAATCTTGAAACGAATGATATCATCGGTCGACCAAATGCGCTTTCAAACTTTCGATTGTTTCTAAATGGGAAGGTTGTCTTGCTTTGACTGATCTATGGTTATTTGGCAATCATATAAACATTAAAGATCACTAGGTGAAATCAAAGAAAATAATCGCCGTCAGTTTTGTCTGGGATACAAGTATCTATGCACCGGTAAATTTGTTCATGTTGGTGAAATGATTAAAAGGGTTAAAATTATGACGGTTAAAATGTTAAGGGGTTAAAAGTTAGGACACTAGATTTTTAAACCTAAAAGGTGTGATATTTTTTCAGATCTTGAGATGAGTATATTTGAAACAGAATGAGAACTGTGTTGTGTTTCGACTTGCAATTAAATTTAAAATCATTTTGATTTTCCAAATATTGCGCTAGAATTGAATACATATTTTTTGATTGTTCTTTAATTCATTTCTTTTTCGTACGACTGTGGTTACTTTTTGTATTGGATTGCTACTGCGTTGTTTGTTTTGATCTGTGCTTTCAACAGTTATTACGTCTAAAATAAATTTGGGAAAATTTTGCTAGTTTTGAATTCCTCATCTACGTTATGGATAAATCACCGTCTACTAGCAAAAGCTCGAAGAAAAATTTCGATTTAACTTCGCCCGGAGGATCGCCAATTATGCTTAACGGGAATACTGCTGATTATAGTCAAAGTGTAGACCCACGTTGCGTGTTTTGTCGTTCGGAAAGAGACGATGAAGTGAAATATGGAGAGTTGTTGAGCTCAGAGGGCATAAGAGTTCACTATAATTGTCTTCTCACAGCGAGTATTTTGGCTCAGAAGCTGGAAGAGGATGAGGGCGTGAGAGGCTTCACTGTTGGGGTAAGCTCAAAATTAGACAAATAGCTTCATTTGGGTCAACTTCAACAATTTTTGAAAACCCAAATATTGACAAAATAGATATTGGCTGTATCTGATCACGGCCGTTGAGTGCCGCGGGGTTGTCCCTCCCTTTGGTACTATTTTACGATCTCCATTTTAGGTTAATCAACTCCAATTTTTTAAAAAGTGCCCTTAGCGCCAATATACTTAAATTTAAGGGGCGAGCGCGCACCGAAAAATATAATTTGTAGGTCAAAACCTTGCAAAAAGTGCTCAAAACGTCATTTTTGACCGTTTTCAATAATTTTTGTCGACGAAAATATTTTTAAAGCAAAATTGGGACTTAATTGGTGTTTAAGTGGAGATCGGAAAATCAAATTGGTCGACAACCTAAAAATATGCAAACCGAGAAAACTTTCAAAAACCGCGCTCCCCAAGAAATTTCTGTTCACGCGACTGTGTCATGGTATTAGTTTATTTTTGTACAATTTTCAGGTCTATAAAACCATGTCTCCTGGTTATTTTTGGTTTTATATTGCTTGTTTACTGGTTAGAAGTTAAGGGTTAATAAAGTTCGTTGTCGTTGTAGTTAATGCTTTTAAGTCATCAACAAGGTACATTTTTAATTATTGTTTTTGAGAATCTTATAAACTACCCCCCCCCCCCCCCTCCTCGTTAGCTTAAAGGGATTCGTTACAATTAAATGTTTTTGTTTATCCTGAATTGTTGGTTTAATTTTATAAAAGAGTGGCCATTCTATTTTAAGAAACATAGGGGGGGGGGATAGTTCACTTGATATATTTTTGAGACTACCGCTAATTGATGTAGAGTATACGACATGCTGCCCGCAATGCGCGTAAAGAGACATGTGTGTACTGTGAGAAGACGGGGGCAGTGATTGGGTGTTGTCAGAGGAAGTGCAACCGCTTCTTCCACTTTCCCTGTGGACAGAATAACAACTGCATCTCTCTCTTCTACGGCACATTCAACTCCTACTGCCACGAACACGCAAACACCATGCGACATGTCAAGCCACCGGGTCAGTTGAACAATCTGGTTATTCATTTTTTATGGATACAATTGGAAAAAAATAGATGATCTTGGGTTCATGTTGGTCCGAAAATAGTGATTTTTGTTTCGATCACCCCTGGGACTGAAAGGAACTTGCCCTTGCTCTGTGTGTTCTTGAGTCGAAGAACGTAGTTCAGTATCTTATTAGGCCGATGTCGAGAAAATAGTTCTCTTAGTTTTTCCGTTTTTCAGTCTAATCTAAACGAAGGAATGGATGAATGGCTAACCTCCGTTTTCAATTCTGCTGCAGTTTTATTAACCGCCCATGAACGACGTGCCTTAACACTTTTTAAGGTCGTGTGGGTTTGAGCACAAAAAATCTTGAAACTGTTCACGCTCGAATTTGATTTTTCGCAGTTTCACTCTTAATTACATTACATTTGCTTCATTGAAGTACGAAAATTACGATAATGCAAAAAACTGCGAATGACCTCGTTTCAAAGTTGGAATACTTATCACTTTCAATGCCCGAAGTTAAAACTCTTATTTAGGTTGTCTAAATTTTTTTCTCTTGAAAAAATATCAAAAGTGGTTTTTAATTTTTAGATTTACCAACGGAATAAATACAATAACCCATTGGCCCCGGTTGTTCGAAAAGATTTAGTTTTGTGAATATAATTTTCAATTATGAAAGGTTCTTGACTTTCTGCGATCTTTAATTTGATGTATTTGTTATTTGAAAATTATTTTTTAAAATCAGTCGAAAAAGTCAACCATAGAAGCGAAGAGAAATGTACAACTTTTTTTTCTTTTTTATAGGTAATTTGACGCTCTGCTTGCGTGTTGAAATCGTAACTAATTAGGCTAGACTTCAAATGAGCATTTTTGAGTCATTGAAATTCGTTCAGCTTCGTCATCGAAAAGGATTTGTCAACAACATTAAAGAAGATAACAACACAATTCGGGGATGGCTTACAGACTGAATTGTCGTTTATGTGTGTTTATTGAATTGCTACCACAGAGATAGTATTTACCTCCATGAAGTACACTGTAATATCTAACTTTGAGTGGATGCCATTATTGCTTAGTTGTAAAATTTTGGAGTTGGATTGTTGTTGTTGATTGGTTGCTTGAAAGGGTTTTTTGAGGTTTCTTGGTTGGGTAGTATTAGTTGTTCGTCTTTGGGGTGTTTTAATGGTATTTCTTGTGGTTGAAGTTGGGAAGTTGATTCTGTGTTTCGTTTAGATTGAGATATTGGTGGGTTGTTTTTGCAGTAAGAACAGTTTGGGCAGTAAAAGGCTCTGGATTACTCCGAGGGTTTACGAAGCGTTGTGCACGATTGATGAATCCACCTGCCTAGGTGGCACCAAATACTTCTATGTGCTCGCGTTATCCTTAAATCACAGGTTGGACAGGTGTAGATTGCAGGCCCAGCGTTACTTTCTATGCCAGCTCTGATAAGGAGGATCTCATTTATTGTGCCAGCTGGGTCGTGAGGGAACGAGGTGACTGATTTCTCCGTTCCCAGTACATAAACGCGAGTTGACGCAGCGTCTGATGAAATTTGCAGCGGAGGTTGTACGATTTTTTGACCATCTAACATGTACTTGGTGTGGGCACACTTCATTTTGAAATTGGAATACGTATCACGTTTCAATGCCCGAAGTTAAAACACTTATTTAGGTCGTGTGGATTTTTTTTCTCTTGAAAAGTATCAAAAGTAGTTTTTAATTTTAAGATTTACCAACGTGATAAATACAATAACCCATTGGCCCCGGTTGTTCGAAAAGATTTAGTTTTGTGAATATAATTTTCAATTATGAAAGGTTCTTGACTTTCTGCGATCTTTAATTTGTTGTATTTGTTCTTTGAAATTTGAAAATTGTTTCAAAAAATCAGTCGAAAAAGTCAACCCCGGAAGCGAAAAGAAATATGCTACTTACACTGCAACTGTTTTCTTTTTTATAGGTTATTTGACGCTTTGCTTACGTGTTGAAATCGTAACTAATTAGGCTAGACTTCAAATGAGCATTTTTCAGTCATTGAAATTCGTTCAGATTCGTCATCGAAAAGGAGTTGTCAACAACATTAAAGAAGATAACAACAGAACTCTGGGGTGGTTTACAATTTGACTTGTCGTTTATGTTTGCTTTTTGAATTGCTACCACAGAGATAGTATTTACCTCCATGAAGTACACTGTATTATCTAATTTCGAGCGGATGCCATTATTGTTTAGTTGTAAAATTTTGAAGTTGGATTCTTGTTGCTGATTGGTTGCTTGAAAGGGTTTTTTGAGGTTTCTTGGTTGGGTAGTATTATTTGTTCGTCTTTGGGGTGTTTCAATGGTATTTCTTGTGGTTGAGGTTGGGAAGTTGGTTCTGTGTTTCGTTTAGATTGAGATATTGGTGGGTTGTTTTTGCAGTAAGAACAGTTTGGGCAGTAAAAGGCTCTGGATTGCTCCGAGGGTTTACGAAGCGATGTGCACGATTGATGAATCCACCTGCCTGGGTGGCACCAAATACTTCTATGTGCTCGCGTTGTCCTTAATTCACAGGTTGGGCAGATGTAGAATGCAGGCCCAGGGTTACTTTCTATGCCAGATCTGATAAGGAGGATCTCATTTATTGTGCCAGCTGGGTCGTGAGGGAACGAGGTGACTGGTTTCTGCGTTCCCAGTACATAAACGCGAGTTGACGCAGCGTCTGATGAAATTTGCAGTAGAGGTTTTACGATTTTTGGCTATGTAACACGACTTACTTAGCGTGGGTACCGCCACTGAAAGGCAATCCTACTTCGGTATCCCAAAAGGCATATAATTAGCAGCGACGATGATGATGATAATGAGTCGATGGCACAGCTCGAATGTTCTCTTCTTATTCTGGCTCTGCTTTTCAGAGAACGACAACTGCTGCCCTGTATGTGTAGAGGAATATACTCCTGAAGACTCTCTGTTCCAATCTGAATGTTGTCCTACTGTCAGTCACATGGACTGTATGCGTCAGTATTCCTACAACGCCGGAACCTACGTTCTAAAATGCCCCTTCTGCCAAGATGACAAGAAGTTCGTAAAGTGCATGCTGGAGTTCTCGTGTATCTACATTCCTACTAGGGAACCACTCTTCGAAGACCATGACCGTATGACGATGGAGCTAGACTGCTGTTATGATGACTGTCCAGAACCAGAAAGGTCAGTTTTCTTTGAATCGCCCAAGCTGTAGCGATAACTTAGTCAAATCAAATCAGTCCAAAACGCCTATGCGGTTTTTATATATCGGGTTTTCATAGAGCGATCAAAATGAAAATCCCTCAAAATTTATCTTTTCTACATTTAATTGCGTGTGACACGTATATTGCCATGCTTAAGTGTTTTTTTGCAACAGTAAGGGACACAACGCATCTATGTGTGGTTGACCTCTATTGTATATTGCAATGCTTAATTTTTTTTCGATTTTCCAGTTTATGAATGCTCGGCCTATTGAAAGGCCAGAATAGAAGGCCATAGCTATGATGTCACCCTAAGAGGGGAGGAGGGTGTGGGTGCACAGTGATGGGTTGTGTAAGGGTGGGTTTGATCCATCAATACATAATGTAATGAGCGTTTTTGGTTCCAGGGTTGTTTTCACTAAATTTGAAGAAGAAGAAGAATTTATTTCTCCAAATAATAATATAGCAGACCACCGTTTAATAGCTATTTCTTTTACAATTTAAACAAATAAATAATTTAAACAAATAAATAAACAATGGCTTTCACATTATAAGGAGAGGACAGGCAAAGGGAATAATAAATTCCCACTGAGCGCCTACCCTATTCAAGCATCATTTCAAACTGCAAATAGTACAAATATTTTTATATATCTAATTGTCTGCAAGAAAAATAGAACAATTATTGCATTAATCTGATAGAAGTCGTATAAGCTGGTTCAAAGTTCCTTTACCCACTGAGAGTGAACCCGAGGTCGCCAGAACTCTAAACCATTCAAACGAGTATATATATATATTTTCAAACCATATGTTAGAGAAATTTTTTTTCCAGCAGAGAAAACAACATTGAAAATTAAAATAATCATTATAAACTTTATCAAAATCAGAAACATAGTCTCTTGAATGGACATAGAACAACCGCATTGCACAAATAATTTAAATTTAACAGCAAGGATGGTACAGGTATTATTCAGAAGATAAGGGATGAAAAAATATATAACTGATTTGTTTACAAATTTCAAAGTTTTTCACCGAAAACTTATACCAGGCAATTTTTTTTCCTCCTTAAAATTCGCTAGTAAATTGGGCATAGTAGAACCTTTGGGAGCAACCCTGTGATAGGGTGCTGTCATGGTTCTCCCTGGTGTTGCGAAGTTGGCCTCCAAATCTGAATGCCCAATTATTTTTTTGAAGTTGTTGCGATATGAACATTTTTTGATTTTTTTAAGAGTTATCAACGTAGTGAGTACTCTTATATAGGTCTTGCTGATTTTTTGTTCAGGAAACAGTCTTAAAGTTTGTTGACGCTCAATTTTAAGTTTTCGCGTTTTGACTTGTGATTTAATTTTAAGTTCAGTGCTGTTCCATTGTTAGAAGGAAGGCAAACTCCACTATCGAACAGCAAAAACTGTAAAGGTCACGAAAAACGTGATCGACTTCTAATTTCGAAAATTATCAGATTTCCCAGCGAAATTAAAGTTTTATCTATTGATCCAGTTTTCCCGAATTGGGTTAATTTTAACAAAAAGGTGTCTATCATAAACTGTTCCATAAATTCAAAGAGTTTTAAGGTCATTTAATAGCTTTGGAAATTGAAAAGTTCAAGATTTTTGAAAAAACAAGTCGGTTTTTTTTCAGTTTCCTTGCGTTCATTACTTTTTTCCAACTGTCAGTTGGCTTTGTTGGAAAGTTTTCAGAAAGTTACGATTTTAAAAAAATTCAAAATCGCAACCCTTAGTTTTGGTTACTCTCTCATGTATGCTCAAAGCTTTTAAGTTTCCGAGTTCCTACTTTTTTAGATGTTTTTTGAATTTTTTAAAAAAAAAACTTAGATTTAAGAACACTCGAAAAAATTTGAAATCCAAAACCCTTTAGTTGAGTCAAGTCATGTCAGAGTCCTCCCAGGGTTTGCAGGTCTTATCTCCAAATGTGACTGCTCAACGTCTTTTATTTTCCAAGGAATCGCGTTTTTATGAGTTGTCAAAACTTTCAAATAACAAAACTTTCAAATAACTTGATTTTTTTAAATATCAAAAATAAATTCTCTAAAATTGAAATTGTCGACCTTTTCGCGGTATGATGATGGTACTCTCAGCAATGGCAGATGTGGTGTACATTTGTATGATGGAGCAAGTCTTTTAACTTTCCCTAATTCGACGTTTTTTAAATTTTTAAAAAAAATTTTGAATAGTTTAATTTAAATATTTTGTTTTAAATTTTGAAGTGTTCGGACACCATTTTGGTGTTATGTAAAAGTAACTCCCAGGGATTGCAGATGTGGCCTCCGATTTTGACCGCTCAGATTGTTTCAGTGTTCTCAGATGCAATCAGCCATGAATCCATACGTTCAACCATCCATCCAACAAGTCATCCATCTCAGCTATCCTCACATCTAGCTATCCATCCATCAAATCATAAACCTATCCATCAAGCTTCTTATTCGTCAAGCCATTCATTCTTCAAGCCATCTATCTAGCGATCATTCGATTCAACCACCCATCCATCCATCCAGCAAAGCAGCCATTCATCAATTCAGACGTCATTAAAGCAATCTAATGCTTCAACCAATCATCAATTCAACCTGCCTTCTAGCCATTCATTCGTTCTTTTATCCTGCCATCCATGCATCAATCGACCCATGCATCTATCTAACCCTCTCAATACTCGTATGCATCCACCCAACTAGCCATTCATCCATCCCTCAAGCCACCATACATCTAGCCATCGGTTCATTAATCAAACCAGCCATTCACTCATCTTGCCATCCGTCAAGCCAACCAGCAATCCCTCCATCTCGCTATGCCTCGATCTGGCCACGCATCCATCTATCTAGTCAATCAGCATTTCATCTACCAATTTAGCGCTCCAACAACCCTGCCATCTGTTCATCCATCCAAAGATCCAACTATCTAAGCCAGCCATTAATCATCTTGCAGTCCATCCACACATTCGCCAGTCCTCCATTCATCATTGATCTAGCCGTCTATGCGTCTAGATTTCCATCCGTCCCACATCCATCCGTCTAGCTATTCATACTAGACCCATCAGCTATCCATGCAGCTGTCCATCGTCGATCTTACCGTCATTCTAAGTAGCCATCCCTCCATCCATCCAATAAGCGTTTCATCCAATCAGCCATCCACCCATAAAGTCATTCATTCTTCAAGCGAGCCACCCTTCTAGCTATACATCCATCTAGCCATTTAATCCATCTATTCAGACATCGATCCATCGAACGAGCCAGGCATGCACCTGGCCCTCCATCCATTCAGCCGTCTCTCATCACGCCATCCGTCTATCGAGTCACCATACATCTACCCATCAATTGATCCAGCCATCCATTCATTTTGCCATTCGTCCAAACCAGCAATTCATTCATCCCTGCATTCAACCAGCTTCTATCTATCACTATATCCCTCCATCACTCCTGCCATTTATTCATCCATCAACGATCCACCATCTCAGCCATCCATCAATCATCCATTCGTCAATCCACACATCCAACCAGTCCTCCATCAAGCCGTTTATCATCGATCTAGCTTTGCATCCATATAAATATCCATGCATCCATGTATATCATCAGTCGTCCATGCATGCAGCCGTCCATCGCCGATCTAGCCATCATTCCAACTAGCCATCTCTCCATCCATCCAACAAGCCGTCCATCCATCAAACCAGTCATTCTTCAAGCGATCCATTTATCTAGCTATGAATCCATCAAATCATAAATCCATCCAATCATCCATCCGTTCAACAAGCCATTTATGGGCCTGGCTATCCATCCAGTCAGCCATCTATGAAAACCGCCATCCATCGATACTGCCATCCATTCAGCCAGTCTCTTTTCAACTAACTATCATCCCAGCCATCAATCTATCTAGCCATCAATCCATTTTGCCATCCAGACAGTCATATAGTCAGCCATCAATTCATATAGCCTTTCAACCAGCCATTCATCATCCATCCATCCTGATCCGTCCTCTCATCAATTCAGCCATCCGTATATGCAACCAGTCACTCTTCGATGCAGCCCCCTTTCAAGCCGTCCATCCTTCCGACCATCTAGCCATCCATGCGTCCATCCAGTTATCCACCGTGCCTTCAGTTCATCCATCCAGCCAATCATTCAAACATCCATTGATCCATCCAGCCATCCTTACAATCAGCTAAACATCCATCCAGCCTATTTTTCTGCTAAAGATATACGTTGATTTTTTCATGCAGATTTAAATGCAGGGTCCTGCCAGATTTTGTAATTTTTCCAACATCATATTATAAAACTTTTTAGCCAGCTTGCAAGCGTGGTGTATGAAATCGTATCTTTTTTCCAACCAAATAACTTGCAAATAAAATTTTTCATTAAAAGTGTTCGCTTAATTGGTGGCATTTTTGTTATAATTACGATCTGTAGCATTGGAAATTTCATAGCATCTGTTCTTTGCTTTATTTGTGGCTAGTGTTTTTTATTGATTTAGCCTTGGTGGCTGAGTGGTTAGTTTGCGGGACTCATAATCTCTATGTCGCAGATCGAATACGAGACATAGCCGAATTTTTTTGTACTAATTCAAGCATTGTTTCTACTTTTTTCTTCTGCACTTTATACAGCTGCTTTTTTCGTATTTTCGCTAGTGTTGGGGAAGCGTTGCTTCACCTCTTTGTAATTTTTAGGGCTATTTGTCAATTGTCATTGTTACTTTTGGAATCTGAATCTTTCCTACATTTTCAGCGAAAAATATTTTCTATGAAATTCACAGAAACATGTTGATAACCTCCTATAACCTTCAAATTATTCCAAGTTGTGAGGTTTTTGTGGAGAAGAGTTTTTATTTGCAGTTTTCAAAAATTAAAGGAAAAATGTTTTAGTTTTTGGCAGTTTTAAAACATTTGAGTTAACACAGTTGAGTTAATTTTGATTCATCAAATAAACCGAATTTTTTTTTGTTACAAACAACAGTGCAATAAAAAAATTCCATTTCAGAAATTTTCCTACTCAATATATCTGGCATTTTTGTTATGTACAATTTATTCAAAATTTGGCTTCATGCTTTCCAAATTATTACATGTAAATTAGTGTGGACGCCTTTAGTTAAGTGTTTTCCAACTTATTACATGCAAACTTCGTGTCTCTTTATATCTGGAGCTAATTTGCTGCATAGCATTGGCAATTTCTTAGCATATATAGCTGCTTTATTTGAGGTTAGTATTAGTAAGTTGTCAAGGGCCACAGAACGACTCAATCACAGATGTGAGGACAGGACTTAAAATCTGCTGGTCGTAGGGTAGAATCCCTCACAGCAGATTAATCAATTTTCAAGTCTTATTTTTACCCTTTTGTTTCATTTTATAGAGCTGCTTTTTTGTCGTTTTCTCGCTAGTGTTTGCCAAGTGTGTGACAATTTTTATTCTGTGTAACAATTTTTATTCAAAGTTTACTGTGTAAAAGTTTAAACAAACACAAATTTTAGCAAGGACAATACTTCTATGAGAATTTAGGTGTTTCGATTAAATTTTACGGGCTAAACTTGGCTAAGCTCTTTCTCAAATTGGTTCAGAGAAAAAAAAACAACCGATACTTGTTTTTGATGTAGAAAAAAATTCATTGGTGAAAATTTGCTCCAATTGTTTGCGGTCCTTGTGTAATGAAATACCTTTCCGAAAAATACTTCGAAAAGTAGTTTTGGATATTGGCTATTGCAGTTATCGATGGAAATTTCTTCGTTGTCCCATGCATAAGTATTTTGCTGTTGGTAAATCGAGCCTTCCTTTACAATCCGGAAATGCAGGTTTTTGAGCTTTTAGAAATGGCGAATATAAGTGATAAAGTGATGATTTGTAATCAAGCGAAATTGATCAAGTAGAATTTTATGATCAAATTGCAATTTAGCCGAAGATTGAAGTTTGGACAAACCAAGCTGAAATATATCCCTAGCGTAACGATTCAGTTTTCTGATATCATACTTCGAATCACCGCTGATTATTGTAAGTGACTGAGTCTAATTGACCTAATTCTTTTTTGTTGCATCCTTTTTTCCTCGCTATTGTAAGAGGAAATTGTTCAATAAAAAAGAAATATTTGATCTTTTAAACCATCATGAAAAGGCTTTTTTTTTGTAAAATTTTGTGTCGCAGTTTTTTTTTGATAAAATTTCATGCAATAAAAAGAATTCAGAGATTCTGGTTTTTAGTGGTCTGTTTTTTTTACTGTTTTTGATACTGGCCAAACTTTTTGTTCTTCGTTATGTCAACAGAGTAATAAAAACGTTATATTCTGGATAACTGCTATGTTACTTTATGTTTGGCGTGCTACAATACACAAAAACGTCATCTAATGAATTTTGGTGAAGTGATTTCCTCTACATGCGAAATCAAACAGTACTTTGTAACAAAAGTAAGCCTTGAAACGCTCAAACGCCCCCATGAGATCGCCGAAAAGTGGATTTGTTCACTAAGGCAAACTTTTTTATGGAGTTTTGGTTGCAAGCATATCCTCTGAATGCAAAGTCAAGGTAGGCTTCTCTGACCAGGGGTTAGGCTTGAAGTTCTCAAACATCCGCATTAGGAAACCGAAACCTTAGATTAAAAAATCATATAATCCGTGGAAGTTCTACTGACGTCCATTAAGAGTACTGATCAATTTTAACATCCTGTTCAGGATAGGGAAATTGATTTTTCTATAGAATGGGTGACAATTAAGTTCTCCCACAGTTTCATTGCAACCTTATCGATTAAAACTCTAACTGGTTACAATTACATTAAGTTTTGCTTGTTTGATAGTTCGAATGTTGATGATAGTTCGGTATTTGTTTTATGGCTATATTTTTAAGTTGTTTTTCCTTTTTTCTTTATTTTTTTTTTCATAATCAATGAATTTATTTTCATTCTGATTGATTTTTATAGTGTTATTTTTTTCTACCAATTTTTGTAAGTTTTTCTTTCAGCCCAATCGCGTATGTTCAAACCAAGTATCAAAAGCAAGCTGTCCAAATATTTTCTGAACGTGGTTGTGTTTCTATTGGTTATATCATTTCACCTGGTTCGAAAAATCCCCAAGAGATGACAGTGTCTAGCGACAAAGAGTCAGTTAGATTGGTTCCCATCATTTGTTATGTCAATTTGGAAGATCATAAAAGTTCATGACTTCTAGAGGCTGATTGAGACAAATAAAGTGGCAGCTTTTCGCCTGTAAACACTCCGTTGCCCAGACCAGAAGTGATCAATCGCTATTCTAACATCGCTGGTTTAAAGAGTTAGTGTGACAGATTGTACGCGACCCATAAGTTCTAGAGTTTTGGAGTTGACTCTGTGCACTTAGGACGGAGCCTAACCCTAGAACTCGAAATCTAGGATTATAAATTGGGGCTTTGAAGAGGGAAATTTAATGAAGTTCTGCTGCTTACAATGCAGTTAATTTTCAATCAGTTAATTTTTCACATACAGCGGTGATATAAATCATCAGGACGAAACTAACTTAAAACTAGGTTTGTGGTGTAAATAGGTAGAAATTATAAATCTTTTCAATCGATAATGAAACATTGACGATTAATTTCAACTTGATTTCTTGCTTTCCTTTATGGCCATGTTTCATGTAGTGTCGTTCGCAGAGCTTAAGATGTCATCAGTTTTTGATAGCTCCTTGCGCCGAACATCTGCTAGCTAATCAATAAATTTCATCCTCTAGCTGTTGAGCGAAAAATTGTTACTGGTCAAGTTCACCGCGACCATGCTGGTTTTGAGCATGTGTGATCAAGTAATTTTTTTGCGAAAAAAAAATACTGAAATTCGAATCTCTACCAATTAAGTTTTGCTTATTATTAGTTATTAAGAGTCGATGATTGTTGTGAAAGAGAAATCCTTTTATAAGAGAAATTCATATATTAAAAAAAGAAATCAATTTATAAGAGTAGGTTTTGAAGCCACGTTTTATAAAACCGCGTGTTTTAAGAAATCAAAAGAAAATAGAAACAAAAAAATCGCCTTGTTTTTTGTTGGTTTTTGGGCCTATATTAAATATTAGTTAATTCAACGGTTCACGTATACGTTAATGCTGTGCCATGTGAAGAATATCCCCCTTTTTGCAATAAGAATGTCTTGGGAGGGGGACAGTTAACAAGGTGTTTCTCAAATTTCAGGTGTGAGAACAACGATATCTGGTCCCTGATCAAGTGCACGTTATGTGGCAGCAGAGCAATGCATGTGTGCTGTGTGAAGAAACAGCCAGACCAGATGTTCATTTGTCCAGACTGTGGCTACGATGAGTCATGGCATGAAGAGATGCGAGTGAGGCTGAGAGTGGGCCAGACATCTGGAAGAGCGTACAAGTTTCAGTTGAGTTACTTGACCACCAAGTTCCTAGGAATTGCTCTGAAGGATCCGACGAACGAAAAGATCACCAAGTCAGGTTGGTCCTACTGTCTTGTACTTATGCACCCTTAAAAGTTGCCATTCGAACGTGAAATTTAAAGGATCATCTATTGGTTTGTTAACAAAACGATGATGTATTTTCTGACAAAGGAATCAGCTGTGTGGAATCTCGGTATTCTCTAACTTGTTCATACATTACAATGTGTTACAATTTTCAGATGTTACACAACTTATTTGAAAATTATTGAATTCTGGACAAGTCGCAGGTTTTGAAAACGATTTTGAGAAACGAAAATAGCCTTGATCACATACATGGTCAACAAATCTGTAATACGAGCTTATATTTGTAAGTTCATTGCATGACTTTTATGTTTAGGGCGCTGTTCCCGACGCTACCAAGAAAAATGTGATATGCAAATAAGAACAGCGGCTGTGAAGCTGGAATCTTCCAAGAAAGAAAAAGCATGGAGCGAAAGTGAAGATGAAGATGAAGATGACGAGGAGAGAGAACTGAAGGAGAATAAAGACTCAAGAATAACTGGATCAGGCTCGAAGGGAGGAAAACGGAGGCGAACTGCGACTGAAAATTTGACCGAACAGACAAATAAGCCGAAGAGGGCAAGAACTTCAAAGAAAGGTTTGAGATATTTTTAACATTTTTTTCCATTTGGTCTACTTATGGTGCTTCCCATTTCACATAATGCATTGTCAACAGGAAGCTTTTCTTTGAAAGGTCATATCTATGCTTTAATAAATTAATTTTTTTCAGCTCATTGCGACTGGAGGCGTTTATCTAATTACTCAAATCTTTTTAACTCGTCATAATAGCTGTTTATAATAGAAATTGAATAGCAGCGTAAGATGTTAACAGGTAGTCCTATTTCAATTGCAAAGCAAGTTGGATGTTTCAGGAAAATCTTCGAGTGTAATATCATCAGCTGATACCGTGTCAGCTATCAATTCTGACGTATCGACAGTTTTGACTGATGCAACCAACAAAAGCGATCAACCACCAGCGGAAATAGCACCAGTTAAAGAAAAGAAAAAGAGAGGTCCCCCTAAGAAAAAGAAGACGGACTTAGAAGCTGCAAAGAAACAAGAGACGCCTAGCTCGGGCATTTTTGATGATTTTGACGTTCCTGACTGTAATATTGGAAAGTTGATCAAACCATGTGAAATAGCGTTTAAACAGAAAGATAAAGGATTGGATCATTTCGGAATTAACTATTTGAAGCCACAGAAATGCAAGGAGTGCAACCCACCTGCAAAAAGCTTCAAACTCGGAGATTCGCCGTCATGAGAAGTCCTCTGACAAAATGAATCAATTGAAATATAACTGAGTACTCCATTTTGAAACTTGTTTTTGAACTTCGTACCTAAAACGCATTCAACGGTGCAGTTTTCATTATTTGATGCCTAATTATTGCTTCAATCAAAAATTGCAAATTCTTGCGTTTATTTTAGATTGATTTTGTTATTTGGTTTTTGCATAATTTTGAGTGGAATTTGTACTAACAATATAGTATTTCAATGTTCAAAATGCGAATTGTTGAAAGATGATGTTTTGCCGAACAAGCTAGGTAATATGATGTGCCACGTTCTAACTCGCTCCAATTATTTTTTGTTGCGCCAATTTACTCGATATCGTCAGGGGAAAAAGTGAGTCAAAAACGTAGTTTTAACATATGACTGAAACCATTTTGTCACTGCCTTACTAAAGCTAAAGCTGAAAATAGAATACGTAGAATAATGTCACAAGTTAGCTATGTTTTGAGACTTCTATCAATACTGACCAAAACGTCTGTTTCTGTTTTACAAATAAGTCAACAGCCTAATGAAAATGTTCTAATGGATCGTTGTGAGTTTTTGATGAATTTAACTAACTGAATAAAGTTTTCGAGATTGCTTTTCATAGTAACAACAGAAGAACTTTTTCTCTTGAGTTTGATTTTAACACTTGCGAGTGTTAGTGTATTAGTACGAACCTTCTTTTTTCCAAGCAAACTCGCAAATAAAAGTGTTAGTTAAAAGTTCACTCATAATGGTGTGACTTCTGCTATGATCACGGTATGCAGCATTGAATATTCACAGGATCTGTTTTGTGCTTTATTTGTGGCTAGTGTTTGTGATATATTAAGTGTACGTGGTTTAGTGTGTGAGGCTCATAATCTCTAGGTCGCAGATCGAACCCGAGACGCAGCCGACGTTTTGAGAATAAGCAAACACTTTTTGTATTGAGTTTTGCTTGAAAAAAATAGGGATAGGGTTGAAACGCTCAAACCTCATTAAGCCACAGAAAACGCATTTTAACTCATATTATACTTGATAGCTCTACTGAAACTCTTTAAGACTACTTACTAATTTTGGCATCCTTTTCAGGATAGAAAAGTTTTTTTTCGATAGAATTGGTGACAAATAAGATCTGCCCAAATTTTTTTGCAACCATATCGATTTAAATTTTTGCAGGATACAATTCCGATCATCCGAAAGTAACAGAAATTAATTTAGTTTATTTGTTAGTATTTTGAGTTGGAATGATTTTGATATTTGTTTTACTGCTGTTTTACATCCAATTTATTACGTAAGGTTTCAAAATACGAATTAATAAAAGTGCAGTTTTCGTCAAATTTTTGCGAATTTTACTAAGTAATTTCATGCATTACGCTGTAAATTGCTCCAGTGATTTGTTTCAATCGATTTTCTCGCTAATGGAAGTGAACTCAGTAAGTCAAAAACGAATTTTTGATTTAAGTTTGAACCCAAAATTAGTTGTTTTGCTGCCCTTACTAGAATTTTTTTGATGAAAATTAAAATTCATGGATAAGGTCGTGGGGATTTTTTTTTTTACTTTTTTTATACTGGCAAAATCGTCTTCTCCGGTTTTGAAAAATGTAAAAACTTTCTGCGTGTTCTATGTTGTACCATTACAGAAAGATCTGCCAGGCTTTATTATAAAAAAAACGATAAGTGACAAAATCTGCAAAAAAGGAGAAAGTTCAGGTTGACATAATTTGCGCTAATTTAAGACAAAACTTATTCGGAGTCTTATTCGGTGCCAATCTATACTAATTTTGAGGGGGGAGCGCGCGCCGAAAAACGCGGCGATTTTTTGGTCGAAATTTTCCAAAAAAAGCTTCAAAACGCCTTTTTGGCCTTTTTTCGAAATTTTGCCTGCGGCGCAGAAAGTTTTGCCAAAACAGGGTCTTTTTAGTTCTATGGGAGAGCTCGGAAAATCAAATTGGTCGACCTCAAAAAAAGGTCAAAACAAACAAACCTGGGACATTTTTGTTCCATTGCTTCAAATGATGCAATTTTTTTTATGGTACCAATTTAGAACGCAAATCTGCGCATATGCTTAAGACCTTGAAACCCTAAACAAATATAATTCAGAAAACCCTGGTAGAGCCTGTAGAGAACATGATATTCGAACATTTGTTAATTTCTTCGTGTGAATTTAATTCAAAAAGAATAATTATTTCTACAGTTTTTCATTTTTGGGATAGAAGCGGAATTGGTTCTATATCTAATTCAAGTATTCGAACAAGACGTCTGTTTTGGTGAGCAGAACTATCACCAGAAAAGAGACGACGTATGTTCCAGCCACCCATGAAGTGTGCACGTTGATGTAAAGCAGCTTGGGCTGAAAAAAAAAAGATAATTAAGTTCATTTTTTTAATCGAAAGGTGCCTGTCTGCAAGGGGTTATCTATTTTATTTAGCCATTCGTACAATAAAGATGTAAATCTATCTTTGCTTACAATTTTTTCAATGCCTTCAGTGTTTAAAACTACAATGCATAAATTGGGTCTATTGAAGTATTTAAGACTACAACTAATCAAAAGAGTCACAAGCGACTTTAGAAAACTTTCAGCGTCGGTCGGCAGTAAATTGGCTTTTTTGTGCGGCGAGGGGAGGTTTTCGCCACTCCTCTCTTCATTAGATTTGCCTTGCAGAAAATAATCTTAAAAGTGAAAAAAATTATCTAAAAAAATATCTAAAACTTTTAGATCAGCCCTTGCGTATATATTTATCTAAAACGTGAACCTGTATTCGTATGATGTTGAGATATGTGATGAATGAGTCGACATCACTTGTGGCGGCGGAGGGATACCCGAATGCACGCATCTCCGCCGCCGCCTTCCGCAGTCTCCGCTCGTGTTCAGTTATTATACATGCCTGAAATTTAAAGTTAAGTGGATGACCAGGAAAAATCGTATTAATTGAAATAAAGTAAATCATATAAAATATAATTTTCAAGTCTGAAAATTGTTTTTTGCTACTTTTCTTTGCTTGTAAATATTACTGTAAAATTATATCAATTACATGCAAGATAAAGGAACTGTAAGATTTTGATTTTTTTTCTTTAAATCTATTATATATTTTTCTGTATAAATGTTGCTTAGATTAAACAATCAGGTCCATATAAGATTAAACAATCAGGTCCACGGGGATTCACTACCCTGAAATTCTCCCTACCGTTAAAATTCTCACCATATCAGCATAATAGCCTCTCGTATTGAGTGATGGGCTGGAAGCGTAATTGCCAACAAGATCTGATTTGGAAAAAATTCCGAATCTGGTAAATTAGCAGACTTACAGGCAAGAGTATGCTTGAGAAAATGAATAGCCAGTAGATGGACATTGCCAGTCGATAGAGTAGGCTATCGTACCATTCCAGCTCCAGAACAGACAACTCGTACATCTCTGAAATAGCTGTGAAATTAGGAAACCGTACAGGCTGTTTTTCATTCACGGTGGGTCTCGAACCTCAAACCTCTGGATTTAAAGGCTGAAGTCATTCACGATGAGTGTCCACTGTTTTCTGATTTGTATATTTTACATATTTTCTAGATATCTCAATCAGGTTCGCACCTAGGTTTTTTGAGGGATGGGGGTGTGAGAAATTTTAATTATTTTATGTCGAGCTTTTTTCTGTTTTGTTAGATTGATCTAGCTAATTTTTGCAAGCTTTCTCAAAGACTATAGGGACCATATTTTGCCAAAGTTTTCTACGGCCTCGGCGAATGTTCCAAAAAGGGCCAAAACGCCCTCTTTTTTTTTGAGAGTTTTGTCCTCAAAAGTTTGTTTATTTTTCGGTGATCACTCCACCCTCAAAGTAAATTTACTGTTGGTCACAAAAATATTATCGTAAATTGATCATAAACTAATGTCGTAAAATAATTCCCAAAGAGGAAACCCTTTGATTAGTCAAGAAGTTGAATGACTGACGAAAGAAGCGTCCCCAATCAAATCCGAGCGCTCCCAGAGCAAAATCAAAACACTATTTTTGGAAAAAAGGCCAAAAATGCCGTTTTGGAAATTTTGAGAACTAACCAAAAAATTGCGTTTTTTGGCGCGCGTTTTCGTTGAATTTTAGAGCATATTGGCGCGTCTCTTCAAAATAAATATGTAAGGGCAAAATGTGCTTCTGATCTTGATCATGTTTCACGAAGAAAGATCAAGGGTTGAGACAAGGCAACAATTCATCGCAAGCAACCATTCGTTGCATTCATAAAAAATTTTTATTCGCAGCACGCGTCTACTTGTAGCAAGCGACAATAAAAACCTTGATCAGATCAAAAGAAATTGGATGAAAAGATTACATTCAAGAACAAAAAAATTAAACACAAAAATGAACAAGAGACCCTCAAGTTGCTTGAGAAAATTAATTTTGCTATATTTTTTAAGCAATTCAACTAATCAGGCTTGGCTTTTTTTGTATTTTAGGAACTTAGCTGCTTTTTTCCGGCAGTTATTCTCATCATTTTCTTCTCCGACAGACTCTTTTCTTTTCTCAGGAAATTGATCATTTTGCGAATGGTTGGTTGAGCATATCCCATCCACGTCTTGAAGGCCCTATCTTTTGCCAATTTTTGACCAATTCGTTTGTTTTCTGTGTGCCATTCTTGGCGTTTTTGAACTGATTCCAGAGTGAAATAGGGAATTGCCCAACACCTCAGCGTCCTCAGAGGATAGTTGCAATCCACCATGATTCAAAATAATCGACGTTATCGAGTAAAAAAACTTGTTCCGTATCGGAAAGAAAGTAAGTTACTCCCTCAGGGTCTCACTTAACTTCAAAGGTACGACAAGGTCTTCATTTGATTGGGAGCAGAATCAGTTGGTCGTGTTTGCTGAACAGATCTGGCGAGTTAATTGTTCTTAGGCAAGTTAACAACTGTTTCGAGGCTAAAATTCCCTCGTTTTTCACGTAATTCATCCTGAGAGGCTCTACTGTTGTTTTTCCTTTCTCTTTGATAACAAGTTTGATCCTGAGATCTTTTTTTTTTCAAACAGGCCAAGAAAATATTTTTGATCCCCCAAAAAATAACCCAATCTTTAAAGAAAAATATCTTGTTCGAGTGGTTTTATTTTTTTCTTACTGGTCTCGGTCAATTTTCCCTCCACAGAAACGCATGCTTTGTAGTCACATCAATTTAATGTTGCAAAACAATTAAAAACTAGAAATTTTTCAATTTTGAAAATATAATTTTGCGCACATGTCAAAGTTTGTGACTATATCACTCTCTTTTCAACTTCTTCTCGCATGGAATATTTTCGTGGCCGGATGTGCTGACGGCTATGCTGACTATTTCATCTGCGATGCTGGCAACAGAAGCTTTACACGGTCTCTTTTTGGTTTTTAACTCAAGATTGGTGCTATTTCAAAATTTTGATCGCTCGCTGGAATTTTATCCCCCCACAACCACCGCAAAAATTTTTGCTCATTCTGCATTGTTTTTAATCCCACTAAATAGCAATTTTTTGTGCTGTTAATTGTTGCTTGCTACGAATTGACGCCTGGTGTGAATTGTCTCCTTTTAAAATCTTCAAATCGTCACCCGCGATCAGTTCTCACGTGCGACGACTCGATTTTTTGATGCTTATTCAGAGCTGAGGTTTTTTTTTCTGGTATACATCTCGAAAAAAAGATGACTCTTTTTCCTTTTCCCCCCACCTCAAACAACATGAACGATTAACGAGTGATTTTAGAAGGTTCATTATCAGGACCAAATATGTTTGCCATAGCCTAATTAGTCCGCATGTCATTTTTTTAATAACAATTGAACAATGTAAACGAAATTTTCAGGTGAAGGAAAAAGAGCCAAAAAGATTCGTTTTTCTCAAAAACCTTTTTGGTTAGAAAAACCTCAAAATTCATATTCAAAAAATGAATATGCTTTTCCCATTATAGCACCCCCAGTGTAGAAAGAAATGAAGAGCGGACCGAATTTGTAACATCACACCAAAAACACCAAAAAACACTTAATTTACCATTACACCAGAAAATACCGAATTGCGGTCAAATTTCTAGTATAAAAACACTAAATTCGAGCCCTTACAAAAAAAAACACAAAATGTGTTCCGAAATTTTAGGGAAAAAAAACACCAAATTCGGGCCAAATTTGTTAGAAAAAACACCAAATTCGGGCCAACATTGATTCTTCCCTTTGTGAAGTTGATTACCGAAAGTGAAGTTTGCCACTCCGGAGAGGAGAGCCATGGCTGTGACCTTGGAGGGGAAGCCATTCAGACTGCTCACCGTCGCTTGCATGAACTGCACGTCCTAAACAAGCCACACAAACTAAGTCATTCCACTTAGTCTTGAATTTGGTAGGCTCCCAAGATTATAACCCCATGTCGTTTCAAACGAGTGTTTTTGAATTAAAATTTTGATTTTTAAGAAACAAATTTAGAGTAAAATGAGTATACACGGCAAATAAGTCCCAATCTGACAAACCACCCCCATTTTTTTGCTATTTTTTGTACTGTCTAAGGCATGAGGAAAGTAATGCATATTTTCAAGTTCTATATTTTCACGCATATAATTTCACAAAAAATTGTTGCAGGTGAAATGTTTTTTAACTTTGAGATCAAAATCAATAGCTTTCAAACTTCATGAAAAACTACGTCGAAATTGCTAAAGAAGAAGCCGAAATAAATTCGCTAGAAGAAAAATACCACCCGAAGTGATGATCATTATTCACCTTCTTTGACAGCAAAATTTGGCTCTTGTAACGTTTTGCATTTACAGCACCCTATTGTTCTCATTTTTGGATGTATGGCAAAACCCAACTGCAAACACATTTAATTTGTCTGCATTTATAATCTTTTAAAATTATTGGTTCACACACATTATCTATCATGTCGGTGGGGGAGGGGGGTTTGGGGTGTTAGAAAACGCGAGGGGGTGTAAAAGGTGGGGGTGGTGTTGAAAAAAAAGCGCGGTAAAGCGTTGCAGTTATTTACCCTTATGGCGTCTGTGAGCGTAACTGCTCTCTGTAGAATATCGGAGACGAGACACTGGATGTCAAACACTATGATGGTACAGAACCAGAAGTAGTGTAACACCAACACTGAGTACACCACAGTGTAGAGCAGACATCCAAGTACCATGCAGACTTCAAGGGCTGCTATCATAGCTATGCGGTAGCCGCCTCTGAAATTAGTTATATCCATTTGTAATTTAATTACATTTTATTATCACTTGTTAACACTTGTGAGAGCAAGTATGCGTCTTATCGGTGACAGGAGATTTTTTCCATTAAAAAGTGGAAATGGCCTTACAAGTGCTGCACAAACTTTTTTTTTCTTGACATCTTTTTTTAAATTTTTTTTCGGTTAAACGGTCGTCTAGCTAAGAATTGTCTGCTTAGTTACCGCTTGATAAAAACTGAGCTACAAAAAAATTAACGCTGGCTATTTTGTTTCTCCTCGTGTTTTTTCTTTTATGGAACTCCACTCAAGAAAAACGCATGTTTTTTTCGAATTTTGTTAAAGTTTTATTTAGACTAATTCGTCTATTTTCTTTTGGCCAGCTGTGTGATATTTTTTGATCGTTCAAAACTCGTTTCGCGTTTGTGTAGTTAAATATATAATTAGTATTTCTTGAATAAACCTTTTTCTATGTTATTTATGGGCTTTATTTTTGTTTTAAAATTTTTGAAACACTGAAGTTTTTTGTTGTGCAAACGTTCATATTCCAGTAGCCATCATTAAAATTAAAATGCAGTTCCGAGTTCTCGGCCATCACTTTAAAAAAAATTGAATAAAGAATCTAGACAAGTAGAAAAAATTCATCGTAAAAACTGGAAGAGCGTCTCTTTTTCCTCAAGGATGAATAGTCCTACTGTCGCAGCGCAAATGTAAATATTAGTTCATTGTGCTGTTTCTGCATGTAAAAACTAATGGCCGAGCGAAGAATTTAGTTATAGCACTAGTCAAATCACCAAGTATTCGCCGTTAATTGAGCCAGCTGGCATCCGTCGCTCGACTGGGTGCATCAGACGTTTGGTTAATACCGATTTCGATAGCAAGCATCCAATTATAGTTGAATGTTTGTTTTTACTTGATTGTGGTTGTTTGGTTATTGATTAGACACTTGCACGTTAAGAAATTCCACCAAGGCGTGGGTTGCATGCGTGCAGATGTTAGTTTGAAATACGTTGTGTTAAATTGGCGCTGTTTGCTGCAAATTATTGAAAATTCCTGCATTACGTTGGGTTACAAGCAACCTCCTTTCCCTAACACAAGTGTTGATTACTTTGTGCCGTTCCTAGTTCCGATCGGCAGAAGTACGGAAAAGAGACGGTTTTTTTGTTTATCTATCTCACCACTAGAGCAGTACACATTGAAGTACTTCCCTCTCTCAACGCAAGCTCTTGTGTTATGGGCGTGGAGAAGTTTAATACACGGCGTGGGATTCCAACTACCTTCATGTCCGACAACGGCATGAACTTTTTTGGCGCTCAGAAAGAGCTCTTAGCTTGCATTGAAAGTTGGAACAAGCTCGCTCGCGCAGTTTTTGTCCAGAAAGGGATCAAGTGGACGTTCAATCCTCCCAACGCATCGCAACACGGCGGCTCTTGGGAGCGGTTGGTTAGAAGTGTCAAGCATGGAATGTATGGCCTCTTAGGAAACAGAAGAATAACTGAGGAGTTTCTAGGAACCACACTTTGCCTTGTTGAGCAGTCATTTAACGCAACACCGATCACATACGCTAGTTTCAACCCGCTAGATTTAGAGGCGCTGACCCAAGAGCTCCTATACTGGGTCAACACGCAGCGAGTTTTCCGTCGCCAAGTTTTGAAGAAAACTTCGACCGTAAGAAGCCGTACGCTAGAGCGCAATCATACGCTAACGCAATATGGACACGTTCGATATGGGAATATGTTCCTTCCCTCAATAAGAGGGCAAAGTGGCAAACCACTCAGATGTTAAGTTGAGAGCCGGCGAATTGGTTTAGGTCATAGAGCCTGACAGCCCACGTGGACATTACCCACTCGCGCGTAACGTTAGACTGCACTACAGCAAGGACGGATGCGCGAGATCCGCTGAAATAAAGACCGTACGAAGCGAACTGACCTGCCAGACCGTAAAGCTCGTTCCGGTTCTTCCTTCTTTGGTGGCGGAGGATGATGCAGCGCAAATGTAAATATTAGTTCAGCGTGCTGTTTCTGCATATAAGAACTAATGAACAAGGGGTCTAGGACAAAAGCTAGACATAATGGTCGACTGGTTCGGCTTGGGTTCGAGTCCTCCATGCCCCTACCTTTATACAGGTAAACCCGAGGTGCTACAGCTCACTTGACTTTTCTAACCATTTTTTTCTTATAATACGGTTCAGCTTTGATTAAGGCTGACGGAAAAAAAGTGCAATTTTTCTCGAGTACAAAACTGGCCATTGTTATGGCCGTTGTTACCGATGTAAAAGTATGTTCGGAATTGTTATGTATATGAATTTTCCGGAGTTATTTTGTCGAGAAAATGCTCGTTAGTTCAATCGTTTGAAATTTGATATTTTTTTTGATTTGTTGAGATTAACGCGCACTCCTACCTTCTAACAAGTTATATAAAAACCATTCGGGGGTTTTGAACATATTAGAGGAGTAGTGTTAGATTTAAGACTTCGCGTAAAGAGGAAGAAAAGTGGTTGACGGTGCTTCCAGGCAGTGAAAACTAGATTGGACTCTTTTTGATTTTTGCTCAAACACTTTCCAAAATGATGTTTAGAATAAATTCTGCTGTTATACATCACACGAAAACATGCCAATGTGAATAAGTGAACATATCTGAGTATTTTTCTACAAGCAAATGACCTGATAGGGACAATATTGGGCAAATTGAATGGTAATTTTACGAGGGGTGGCAAACTGGAAAAGAGCCGGAATTGGTTTACCTACTTGAACACTTTGTTGAAGCTTTCCATAAATTTTGAATGTTGGTCGGAAAAAGTGAATTTGAATCTCTCTGGAGCGAGGTAACTGGTGGCCATCGCAATCCAGGCTATTGCACCGAATATGAAAGAAGCTAGCACGAACAATCTAAAAAATTAATATTTTGAATTTTAAAATTCCAAATCGAGCTCTATTTCGTATTTCAGAGTTTTTACTGACCTCATTTTTCGCACAAATTTTGGAGTCTGAAGCTTGCCAATTTGTGATCTTTGAGCTCGCATGAAGACCTATATTTAGAAAAAAAATTAAATCTAACTTTCGCTTAGAAAACGAGTCCGAGGTTGGTTTTTTTAATTTGAAAAATTATTGTCAAAATTGTCATATTTTCAATCACTGTTTTTAGGTATCAATAACACTCTTTACTATTGATTTTAATAATAGCATTAGTTCTGCTCTCAATTGAACTCCGTTCTAAAATATGAAAGTCGAGGCTTCTTCTTCTTAGTTGAGGCGAGTTTTTAGTGCAAAGCCTCAAAACAAACAAAAACCCGCGGTAAAAAAAACAAGACTGTTCATTATAAATAAAGATTCATGGACAGGATGAAAATAATCAACATACAAGATGCTTAGCTCAAACTTGGATCAAATGAGCTCGCTATGATTGCCTTAAAGCAACGAATCAGCACGGGAGAGGGGAGGGGGGTTGGGCAAAGTGTTCATGCCAGTGATTGACCTACTTTTTCTAGGGCGATGTAGAGACTTTCGCTGCGGTGGAATCTGGTATACCAAAACACAGACAAATACAGAAAAAAGTTGATAATGTAATCCAGAGTGTAATTTGAGAAGATATTTGAGCATCCTTGGTACACTGGTGAAGACGAACTGTTGCCTGATGTGTCGCTATTGTCTGACTAAAATGAACACTGTTTGAGTTTTGTTGAAAGCCCGCACTTACGTCCCACAGAGACAAAAACTGATAAAAGCCGAATAAATACAGAAAATTTACAGATTATCTTAAGTATAGAATCGATTTATCTGCGCCATTTTGCAAACAATAATCAATTCTGTACAGATAGAATCCATTTTTTTCCACCAAAAATAAATGGATTTTATCGCCAAAATAATCGATTTTTCTATTCTTTAAAACCTGTATATAATCTGCAGATAATCTGCATACAGTCAGTATACAATCTTTATACAATAGAATCTGTAGGTAATAATAGATTTGTTAAGATAATCTGTAGATAATATGTATATAATCTGTATAAAATGTGTATCAAATTGTTTATATTGCCTAAAACCTATAGGGTTGGTAACAATTTCAATTTTGATCTTTCAAAATTTAAAATAAAGATGTTTTTTTGGCAAATTCAACAAAAAAGTTGCAATCAGGAAAAATTATCCTCAGTTTTATAGTGAGCTGAACTCACTTGAGGAAAATTGGTTACCGCAAACTACAAGTTTCAAGAGATCCCTCTAAGATTTTGCATTCTAAGGGTTTCCGCCGTAAGAAACGTACTTTTGTGCAAAACTTCTTCAAATGCCATTCGAAAGATCAACCTGTTCAGCGCAGTTTTTTTCAGAAAAAACATCAATAAAAAATTTTGAAAATTGACACCGAGAAATTTTTTGCTGCAACTTATTTATACATTAAGAAAATAAATAATTTCTTCAGATCAAACATCAGTACAAAAATTTCAATAAAAGCCTGCATCATAATTTTGTTTCAATATACGCATTCTATCTGATTGGCGAGAATGTTGAGAAAATCAGTTTTTAATCTGTATATAATATGTATATAGTCTGTATATAATCTGTATTCTTTCTGTATACAGTCTGTGTATAATATGCATACAGTCCGTATAAATTCTGTAGAAAATGTGTATAAATTCTGGTCATAGTATGCATAAATTTTGATACAGAAAAAACAGTTTTAGAGTGTTTTGGCTATGATTATATAATGAATAAATTTAGTATAAAACATTTTCAAAACAAAATGTATTACAATCAATAATTATAACTTAATCGAAGTTACAACAGATCTGAAATCTGTATATATTTTTTTATAGATAATCGATTTTTATCCATTTTTGTCATTGCGGGGTATAATGGATCGAAATCGATTATAATACTTTTCCGAGACAAAAATAAACCTTTATAGTCGACGAGGGATGTAAAATTTAGACCGACGGTAAATTCAGATGTAAAATTATTAGTAGATGATAATTTCAGTTTTTTCTATGTGATTCAATTTAATCGATTACAAATTTTTTTTTGAAGGTCTGTCCCTTTCATGGATCAACCGTACAATTCCCTTTCACCGTAAGTAACCTACCTTAGAATGCCCTCCGTAGAAAGCATGTATTAAATCTGAAAATCGATTCTGTAAAGCATGCATTTCATGAAATCGCGCAATATAAATTAGTTTCTACTTTTTTGTATGCAGATTGCCATTTTTGAATGGCTAATATTTGTTTAGATTACTGTTTCATTTCTTATTTTTTCAGTAAACACTTAATTTTGAATGAATCCAGGCTCTCTCAAGTTTATTTCTTGAAAAATTTATAGTTTCTCCCCCTAATTTGATTGGGGGGAGGAAATTGGACGGTTAATCCCCATCCAGTTTTTAGCTGATAAACCTTGAAATTTTTCATAGTCGCTTTGGCGCCAAGATATGCTAATTCTGAGAAAAAAGCGATCGATTAAACTTCAAAAAATTAGGCTTCCAGTAACCGTTCGACACAGGGCCTAACATTGCTGAGCTTAACTTGTTTTTTTTTCAAAATATGATCTTTGTTGTGTTTAAGGATTGCTGAAAAAAATCAATTTGATCAACCAAAAAAAGTAGTTTTTGAAAATCTGACCCATACAAGAAAATTTTATACCCTCGCCTGTTTACCTCAATTAGCAGGTTTACTTGAGGAAGGGGATATAGGGATGGAGATAGCAATTTTTCAAATCGCCATTGAAAGAAAAATTTTTTTCTATAAGAATTGTAATGAGAAACTTAAACGGCGTGAAAACGTACAATAAAACAAGTAAACTTAAAGTCGAAAAACGGCCATTATGGGCGCATTTTAATCCATTTTGTTACAACTTTCAAAGACAGTAGGGTAACACATATATTGAAGATTTTTTTTTGCAGTTTTCATGATTAAAATTAAAGTTTTTGACGGTTTTTATTTTCCACATTGAAAAAATTATTTGTGTCATGGTTATAGATAATAAAAAGTAGTATTTTAATAGCAAAATTTTCATTAAATCACGATGATTGAAATAGGTCAAATTGATCAAATTTTTAGATTTATACGCGCTTTCTTATCGATTGATCGTATAATGTTCATTGAGTCAGCGGCAAATTGATCAGCTCTCAAAGGAATTCCAACTGGGCTGACAAACAAAACGCTTATCACGCAATTTCATAAAAGTAAATTGCTACACCATACAATTCCGAAAAGGAAAGCATGGAACAATGCTTATCGTACAAATTGCATATGGTAAAATTATATTTAGAAGGCTTAAAAATTCATAACGATACAAAAACTTTCAATTTTTTGGTTCGCAAAATCAGTTTATGCTTAAGAAAATTGGGTGCAAAAATTTATATATGCTTGTCCATTGCCCAAAACCAGATTTCATAATTTTTTTGCTTATGTATGGTAAAAAAAACGTTTGCTTGTCAGAACAAAACAGGCCACAATTTCAAATCCCACCTCAACTTTTTCGCAATAGAAGCTTTTTAACGATACAAAAACTTTCGATTTTTCTATGAGGGAAAGGACCAACATACGAGCTGTACAGCTCATCCCGGCGAACCGCTGTTGTGCCCCTGCTTAAGAAACATATGTATTTTTTTGTTTATATTTCTGGGCTGGGTAATGTTGCCTCACCCTCAAAAAACGAGCACAAATCATGGTGGGCATCAAACATACGACCTTTCGAATCATTTTACGAGAAGAATTTTTTCGTTCTTGGAAATTGTAAAAGAAGTTTTGGTCAACCTAGGAGAATACTTTTTTTTGAAACTCATAGTTAAATGAAAAGTTGTATGAAACTTGAACAAATAAAAACTTAAAACAATTTTTATGAAAATAAAAGAGCAATTTTATAGAACAAATTTGCGTCCTCAATTCTCAATATTTCGTAATAGAATAATAGGGAATAAAATTGGTCGAATTTCTACGAAAATTAGGACCAGTTTTGTGGTTGAATTTATAAACGATTGGGTTCATTACTTTTTATTACGCTAAAATAGGTTCAAGTGGCTTTTTTTTAGTGAAATATAGACTCAATTAACATGCGCGATGGAAAAAAAAGGCTGAAATGGGGACCAAGCCTCCACCAAATTTGCGGACCAAATTTAATTTTGTAAGTTTACTCACCTTAGCGCGTGGGGCAATACATAGCACTACACTGAGAATGTAATAAGATAGCAATAGGAACAGCACCAACACAGGGTAGCACAGATTGTACAATCTACAGGATATCTTTTTCAGCCTCCGACTGCTGCTTCCAGGCTCTAGCTTATACCATCCGAGCTAGAAAAATAAGCCAAAAAAAGGTGGATCAAAGATAATCGAACCTGGCTTCTTTTAGTTTTTTCTTGGGCCAAAAATAAGGTGGATCAAAGATAAACGATCCTGACTTGTCTTTTATCTGAAATGCAAATCTCAAAGAAATCGAAATATACGCATCTGAGTTTTTGAAAGTAAATGAATAGCCGGAAATTAGGTTAACAAACAAGTTTGATTAGTCAACCTGCGTTGTTTACTTTTCTTTGGCGCGATATTAAAAAAACCTCCAGTCTGAATTAATTTCAGACATCAAATCCTTGTAGCGTTATTGCTCTTCGCTTGTTTTTTATTAATCTTTTCATGTTTTGAAAAAAGTCTCGGCCGGTAAAACCCAAACCAAATTCTGCATCTAGCTTTAGCGGTTTCTGCATGAACCACAAAGAAGACAGTTGAGTTTCCGATTACCAAAAAACATGATCAAAAACTAGTTATCACAAATGTGAAGATCCCGTATAAAATGCAGAACTGAATTTAGTTGTCTATTTTGACAGTTTATTAAATCCTAAGTGATTTTTTTGTCTTATGCATAGAAATGATTAAATAAAGAACGAGCCCTTTTTAAAGTTTTTTCTTGTTGTGGCTCGTCATTTTTTCTGCGTTCCGTAGCCTGAATTTGCGTTTGTTATTTGACATTGCGTCAAGAATTTCTTAATCGCTGATTATTTCCTTAAAAAGTAAGCATGGTCGCTGCCGCCTTTAGATTTTAGTAATTAACTTCAATAGTTCATTTGCAACTCCCTGATGTAACAGAACCTCAACTTGTCGTTTAGTTTTCGGAGAATGCCTGTTTTTCACAAATTGAAGCCATTTCGAAGTATCAGCTTTTTTTAATTCCAATTTTTACTAATTCGGCTAAGTAGCAGCTCCATGTATCAATGCAGCATCTAAATTTTTTGGTTGAAAATAAGTTTTGTGAATGATTAGAAGTTGACTATGAGTAAATATTTGCCGCAAATGGTACATAATCGACGCATTTCGATATATTCTTTTAAAAAAATTGCATATGCAACTTGAAACTCAGTTGATCATCCAGATAGGGGCCAAGATACTATTGGGACGTTTCTTTAATTAGATTGATCATTTGGGTTTGTTTGGTCTGAATTCTATATCTACTGTTTCAGCCTGGCTAAGAGTTAATTTATTTTCAATCAGCCAAGTTTTAACACTTTCTAAATCGTTTGCTTTTGCATCTCTTCCATTTTTTTGTAGAAAAAAGGCTGCAATCATCGGCGTAGAGAGTTAGATACAGAATTAAAATTAACGGCCCCAAAACTGACCCCTGAGGAACTCCATAGTTGACAGGTTTTGAACTCGATACCATGTTCTCTACTGATAACTTCATTTTGAAATCGATCTTTCAGAAACTTTGATATCAATTTTTCCGCATTCATCTTAATCCATAAGCTCATCCTTTCTTTGCAAGATTTTCATGGTCTACAGTGTCAAAAGTTTCTGAAAGATCAAGCATTGTACAAGTCATTGTATCTTTGTTGCTTGATACATTCAGCCTCACTTACTACGAAAACCAAAATTTTCAATCAATCTTTATGTAATGCCGTAAAACTCGTCAAATGATACTGGATGCCCTTTTAATTAATTGCAGTTGATAGCTAAACAATTGAGTACCGTCAAAAAAGGTTAGAGGCCTTGCATAACGAAACAGTACTAACAAATCGAAGTCCAACAACTGTCTAAATGTGAGTGCCTTAGAAGTTTTCAGAAATGTGAGCTTTACAGGGACATTAAACCAACTTTGAAATAAATAAAAATAGATCTCAAGAAAAAAGCCCTGTGGTAAGCATGTGTAAACTGATAACCATTTAGTAGTTTTTGGGCCTAAAAAAAAACTTTTTTTGGCTTAAGCGCATGGAAGTCTGTTCGATAGAATAGTTTGAACCCAACATAACGAGATCCAGTTTTGGTTATAAACAACCCCAAAAGTTTGCTCAAGGCGCCAAAATCGTTTAAATTTGAGGGCGGAGCCTGCAAAGAAAAAATGCGTTTTTGGGTCTTATTCTCCCAAAAATGCCCCCAAACGGTTTTGTTGGCCAGCTTGTTTTTTAATTCCAACTTTTTTTGCAAAATAGGGTCTAAATTGTGTTAAAAATAGGGAGCGAAAAACAAGTCGACAAAATTAACCAAAAAAAAATTTCGAAAAACCATCTCCTTTGAAATTTCCTGGCAGATCACTGGTAACCTACCATCAATTTCACCCATCTGTCGAATCCCATGAGACTCAGTCGTGCTTTCTCGTCAAATGGAGACCCATCCCATGGCTGATTAGTATTATCCAGAACCTATAACATTTATTACTAATTAGGTTAAGTCTAGTTATCGACCAGGGAATATAGAGAAGCGCGTGGCTGAACTTTGCTTAATGTCTTTATATTTATTTTTCTATTTATTTTAAAAAAGAAAAGGACAAATATAGAAGCTGTTTGGTTCTTACGTTGCGTTCAGCTTAAGAACTACATCCATATTTTCCAGACTTTTTTGCGGGCTGCGAATTATTGTCTCACCCACAGTAAGGAACACAGATCACGGTCAGTTAACTTTTGCTAGTGGAGTGATACTTTAAGTATGATTGGCTCAGCTTCCTCTTTAATTATAACTGGAGCCTCCAACAGGGTCTTTTTAGTGCTTTGGGAGAGCTCGGAAAACCATTTTGGTCGACCTACATCTTATTTTGGAAAACCATCTAGGTCGACTGATTTTTTGAAGATCCACCAATGACTGGAGGAATATTTTTTTCAAAGCTTCAACTTTTTCAATTTGTTGGACAGGGGCGGATCTAAGATTTTCTCGAGGGGGGGGGGGGCGGAATTTCAAAAAATTTTCGAAATTTTGTCGACTTTTTTTTAGGTCGACCAAATTGGTTTTCCGAGCTCTCCCAAAGCACTAAAAAGTTCCTTTGTTGGCCAAACTAAACTTTCTGCGCCACCAAAGTTTGGCCAAAATTTCTGTTTTTTCGGCGTGCGCTCCCCTCTTAAAATTAGTATATATTGTGGGGCCAAAGGCGCCTTTAGAAAAGTTTTAGGGTCCGTCAGCCAACATTGGATATCTGAAAATAGTTCAAAGGGGGGACCCTTTGTGTCGGTAAGGGGTCGAATCCCTGAGAAGGGGGGCGTCCGCCCCCCCCCCCCCCTAAATCCACCCCTGTTGCTGGACATTATTTGACGACTGGTCTTAAGGTTTTCCGTTTTTTTGTTGAATATTGAATGTTGACACGACTATACTTGACCGCTATAGACGCAAAATTGAAGTGCCTACCCAGTTAGTATGATTCAATATTGAAATAAAAAGTTGCTCCCCAAGAAATATCAGGCTATAAACGTTCACTCACCATTGAACATTGTATTTGTTTCAAATTATAATCCGAATTTTTTATATAAAATTTATGAAATAGCATTTTGAAATGAAATAGCCTTTTGATAGGGTCTGCTATTGTAAACTGTCGCCCTAGTTTCTTAACCAATTTTCTGCTGTAAAAACTTGAGAAGCGCCCTTGGAAACAAAGCGCCATAGTTCCTATTACACGCTACAGCAAAACTGGTCTGAGTTCAAATTCTTACAATTATTTCTCCGAGCACCGAGTGGACGAGTGAGCGCTCTAGATTCCCACTCGTATTCAGTCGTATCTCTATGTCGCTGTCGCCGAGACTGATGTCGGGTCTGAAGCTACTGGCGATGGTGGATCTCATGCGCTCTGGGTCTATGCTCACGGCTGAGTTGGTGTAAGAAATGATTCTGTCCTCGGGACTGTTGAGTGTCTGCCCTGAAAAAAAAGAGTTTTAACCCGCTAACGGACAAAAAAGCGATCACGAATTTGTTTGAATCTGTGTTTGAATCTGTGTTTGATCTTCCCAGCTATTCGGAAACACTATAAAGGCACTATTTGTCACTTTTTGCACCGTAAGCAAAATAAAAAAATCAGGCCAAAAATGAAGTTTCAGGGCCCTAGTTGAAAAGTTCTGACGAAAAGATTTGAAAAAGTAAGCTGGAAAACAATCATCTGAAACAAAGCAGCGTAATTTTCGGAAAAAAATCCATGACCAGATCGAGAAATTCAGTTTTGGACTCTACGCTCAAAAGAGAACACAATGGCAGTGCCTACGGAGTTGCAATTCATGGAACAACTGTAATAATCATAGGCCGATTTTTTTGATCAGCTCATTTGGTAAAGTTTTTGAGAGGCTGTTGTCTAATAGATTAGTCCATTTTTTTGAAGAGTTTTTTTTCTCTTCACTGAGTGTCATTTTGGCTTTCGTAAAGGTTATTCTACAACTGCTGCGGTAGTTTTTTTGCTAAATGAACTTCAAGTCGGAATCATTACAAGAAAAAGCCATCTGCTTGTTTTATTGACCTAAAGAAAGCGTTTGGTACAGTCAACCACCGGTAATTAATTCTGAAATTAAAACAAAATTTATGAGATAATTTCAGTCAAAAACTGCAACATCAGATTCAATTGTGTTAAGCAACAACACATGTAAACAGGTTTTGGCCATGAAGTATTTATGAAAATTGGTTGATGAAAAACTGAGTGTTAATCCTCTCATTAAATACTTTTCATGCAAATTATCGAAATTTTGTGGTCTTTTATATAGGATCATCGTGTTATATATACGTGTTTTATCGTAAGCATCTATTTAATTACCACAAAAGTTTCAAAAAATTAATTATTCAGTATGGTGTTTTGATATACGGTTGCTCAAACGAAACTAGTCTGAATCAGGTATTAAAAAATCAAAAACTAATAAAAAAGAATAAAACTTTTCAAATGGTGCGTGATTCCGTTCGGAACTTGTTGATTGAAAGTAAAATATCCGGTGTTTTTGAAATGCACCACTTTGTATGAACCGTTAAAAGACGTAGTCAAACAGCTCTTGAAAAAATGCAATTTAAATTTTTTGAATCTTGTACAACCCGTTCGGACTTTGTGATGAACCTCAAGTTTTTTTTCTTTTCATTTTAAGGGAACAGGTGTCAAAATATTGCTACTAAAAAGGATGATTAAAGTTTACAACCTCTTGAATGTTTTGAAATAATTTGAAAATGTACCTGATATCGAATAATGATAGCGCTTTAATTGCTATATTCACAGGATATTAAACTGCTACTTTTTGATGAAAGAGATTTACACGACATTGGGTTTAAAAACAAAAAACAATGCAATTTACACGAGTTATTTCGGTGTTGAGAGAGCAGTTCGATAAAAGCTTTGATACTCTACAACCAAGCTTTATTGTGGATCTGTTTTCTGGTTTTCTGCGAAATTCGGAACCAAATTTAAATCGATGAGGCTTCAGTTAAGGCCGCTTTTTGATTGCTTGAAAGGAATTGAATATATCAATGCGCTCAAGCAAAACTTCAATTCATTTCAATCCTCTACTGTCGATTCAGCTCATTGACACTTTCAAAAGTCGCACTCCCCAAATCTGTTACATTGCGAGGCCAAGCTGTGCATTTTTTGAATTATAGGCGGATTTTGAAACAGATCAGTATCAGATTTGTTGCGGAATCCGCAACATTACTACTAGTCTTTGATCTTCTTTACTTTTTTGGATTCCACAAACAAATAGCGAAAACACTGTACTGCTAAAACTCACTCGAAGATTAGGCTAATTTGCGGAATCCGCAGCAATATTTGTGGAATGCGGAACAATTTGTGGAATCCTTAAACAAATATTACAAATATTACAAAATTGAGCTGTTGCCGAATCCTCAACTTATGGGGAATCCGCAACTTGTAAGCGGAATCATCAAATTGTAAGCGGAAACCTCGAATTGTAAGCGGAAACCGCATTTTGATTGCGGATTCCAGTTAAATGTTTTGCAGCGTTTTAAACTAAATCATTTAACTACACAGAAACTAGCAAGTAAATGAAATCTTTCTGTTAGGCGTGAAGAGAGATAGAATAATAGCTAGCCTGTAGCAATAGTTTCATAACGACAAAATGTTTTCACGGGACCTCTCACTCAAAAAACCACAGAACTATCTTATCTCAAATACTGATGATGTGAAGTCTCCTCCAATAATCCTCTGAACCTGAACCATCTCATCTCAAAAACTGATGAAATGAAATCTCCTCCAATAAAACTCTGAATCACCTCATCTCTAAAATACTGATGATTTGAAATCTCATCCAGTAAACGTCTGAACCATCTCAGCTCAAATACGGATGATAAATTCTGAACCAAATACTGAACCATTAAAGATTTTTCATCAATCCTGAACACTTCAAGAAACTCATTTGAGGAAATTTTCTGAGTGATCGATACTTAAATATTTAAGGTTGAAGGTGACATCGACTGATTTAGTTTACCAATGTTTCAAGTTTTGGTCGTGAATTCCACTGACGATGGTTATTTCCTCTTTCTTATATTCCGCATTGTCATAGATATTAATTTCAGCTCTAGATTTTAATTGTTCATATGCAAGCTTAGTAATAAAGAAAATAGCGGAATCCACGGATTCCACTTAAATTTTTCGGAATCCACTTACAGTTGCGGAATCCAGAACAACTACCTTACAAATGCGCCGACAAAAGTTACGTTACAGGTATTTGTACGCGGAATTCACGAAAAATTTGTAAGTGGAATCCGCAACATTTTGGACAGTTTAAAGATTTGTCTCTGGAATCCAGGAATATACATACACAAAATTGTGCAGCTATCCAGTGCACAGTTTGGCCTCGTAATGTACTTGAGACTACTTGAAGGTTGAATTCTGTGTTCTAATTTCGAAAGGGAACTTTAAACTGAAAGGGATCTACTCAACAATATCGGGAGATTGTTAAGTAGATTATCTTATTCGAATTTTTCTATCAATCAGAAAGCAACAAAATTAGAATTGTCAATAGAAAGCTCTCTGCTAATTTGCTGTATTTATTCATAGGGGAGATTCTTAAGTAGATACCATAGGGGGAGATTGTTAAGTAGACCCAGAAAAGACCCCTCCTTTTTACTTACTTTGAACTTCATAATATCTGGCTATTTCGGTTTCATCTATTGCACAATAAGACGAAGAGCCCGTTTCATCGAATGTGCCGTAATTAATCTTCGGGTCAACTTCTGGGCCATGTTGGGTTTGGAAGCTGACTGAATTAGTTGAAGATGGGTCACAATTTGAACTTTTTGTGTCTGAGTTATTAATGCTCATTTTGCTACTGCTTCATTAGAAGAACAGTAGTTATAAGTAGTTATAAGTCATAATAGTAGCTTGAAGCAGATTTAGCGCCTGTTCATACTATGGTTATACAGCATCAATGGTACTGCAGTTTTGTAAAGCCGTCTCGAAAGTAAACTTAACCAGAAAATAATTAGTTTGATCATGCCAAGAAACGCAATTGTAACTCTACGCGTCTATTTTACTCGCACTAATCAGAGGTCGGTTCAGATCATGCAAATTGATATAAAACTGAGATTAATAAAGGCTACCTAAATTCAAAATAATATCTTGACTATTTGTATTCAAAGTTAAGTCAAGTTCTGTAGATTTGCCATTCATCTTTCGAATCAAGTTTGATTTACCTTGATAAGTTAAACTTGAGGACATTTTAAATATGCAGTAGATTTATGCTTTGAACTCTCGGGAAATATTACACGCATATATCTTAGATTTAGATATCTGTAAATTGGTCAACACGTTTTTTTTTCGACACGACTGAAAATACCCTTTTTCCAAAAAGAGAAGATTGTAACTGGTTGCTTTGAGTGTAGCAAAAAACGGGATCTACTTAACAATTGCCCTACCCCGTTTAAGAAAGGGGAGGGGCAATTGTTAAGTAGATTAGAATAACGCATTTTTGACCAATAAGAATGCAGTAAAATTCTAATTCTCAATAGAAAGCTCAGTGCTAATTTACTGCTTTTATTAATAGGGGTGGCAAGTAGATACCAAGGGGGGGGGATTGTTAAGTGGATCCAAAAAACGTTCCGAGTACAGGTTGGCCGACTATTCGTAGCTGTCAAAATTTCGTTGCAGGAGACAGTTGTTTGAAAAAAAAATTGGGGCGCGCCTTGCCTGATTGGTAGTTTTTAAAAATATACTACGTTTCGAGGGTAAAATTGAAATCAAAATTGTGTTCTAGTTGGAGTTTTTGTTTGTTTTTGCAGAAAAGTTGAGTGTTGCTTTTTCTCACGTTATGGTGCGATTTGGCATTATTTGAGTTCTATTTGGTCTGAATTGATAGTGCTACATGATGTATCTAAGATGAATTTTAATGAAACGTTGAAAAAAAAGTTTTCAGAGAAGAAACTTTAAATTACATAGAAAAAGAAAACATATCTCTGCATTGTTTTTTAATTACCACACTCTCTTAAAAATGATATATAAACAATCGAAAACTGCATCGTATATAATTTTTGGGAAATTTCTTTTTTGGAACAGTTCTTTTACATTCGATTTTCTTTCAGGAATTCCATTGTCTTGAAAATGCCTTTTCGGATATATATAATAAAATCCTTTTTGTGCTCCTTTGCAGTAACCATCTGACTATCGGCTTTGAATCCTCAGCTCATAAATAAAAGAATAAATGCTTCATCAAATATTTTCCTATACTTTAATATAGGTCCATCTCCAGAAACTTCTAGAAATTGTTTGCTGAACTCTGCTGCTAAACTTGAACTTACCTGACTTCATGACATATTAGCAAAATGTCTTGCTACATAACCAGAGCATCTCTGTGCAACTAAAATTTCCAATGAAAGTCCTCTGTGAGGCTATATTCTTCCAATTATTCTGCTTTTTCGAGCGTTGCAACACGTTCAAGAGTA